ACATAAGCTCATATCGTTACAATAGGAAATAAGTGCTGTAGTATCCTGTGTCAAAACAGCGTTGTGGTGAAATAAACATGGAGACTCTATAGTGGGAAGGGCATAACAATTACTAGGGAGGTCAGCACAAAGGAGGCCATATATTCAGTGCCAAAGGAATAGCATCAGCATGAAGAACAGACACTGAATGCCACTTGGAGAACGCAACAGCCCACTTGCTGTTCCTAAATTCTTGTGGGTCAGATAAACCTTGATTGACTTTATAGAAGTTTTGATTGGCTGTTCTGTTTTGTATTTTCACTGAAGCATACCACCTTGCCTGTCCGTTCAAACCTCTGACCTCTCTCATCATCACTTATTTGTAACAGCTAATTATGCTTTAGACACAGAGTTCACACTTTGAAGTTTTATGATTCACACCTGACATTTCTACATCCTTTTTCTCTACAGAGAGAATTTATACTTGACAGGTTAATGAGGGAATTCACTGTCTGCCTTAGCCCCTCCCCCATTTCCAGTAATTTTCCTTAAGAAGGATTCCAAGTTTGGTTTCCACATGAGATGTGACTCACAAAAGCTAATATTGAAATGAGCACTGTTACTCTTCAAGATGCCAGTGGACTTTTGTTTCCTTCACCAATGGAGAAGTGCCCCTGCTTTAGCCTGATGAGGCTGTTCTTAGCAGGATGTTTTGGAAGCGGACGAACAGAGCCCAGAATGCTATCACCTGCTTTTACTTAGATGGCTACAAGTCACTTCTGTTAGAGAATTAACATGGGCTAATTTGGAATTTCTTAGTTTTTATATTCTAAATGCTGAAATGGATGACTGGCACTTCTTAGAAATGTCTAGCTAGTTCATAACAGGTGCATGTGCAGTCCATGCAGACCTTCAGTCTGTGTTTGTGTAGGAGGATCACGGAGAACAGATATATGAACTATGGTAGGGACATTCATACATACACAGGATTTCTAGCCAGGGTTTGCTTAATGGATCTCTTAAAGTATTCCTTGGAACATCGGTACATCAGAAAGCAAGAAACGCTTGGTTGAAAACAATCTGCAATAGTTTCTGGATTCTTTTTCCTCCCCCTGGGTGCTGCATGGTCACTAAAGTGAAAATGCTACTGGAAAGCACACAAAAAAATATCAATAAATATTGGTGACATTGTGTGATATTCTTGCTATTCAAGTTTTGATCATGCATGCAAAAGTGCCAAATACTAAGAGATCCCATGCAGTGTTCCCTCTAAGCTGAGTTAGTGTGAGATAGCTCACAGTTTTTTAGCCTCCAGCTCACACATTTTGTAGTCACTCGGGAAGGATGGCTCCAGAGCAAACTAATTGATGCAGTAGCCAAATTGCTTGCTCACAACTTTAATGCCAGTAGCTCACAAAGTAGAATTTTTGCTCACAAGACTCCACAGCTTAGAGGGAACATTAATCCCATGTGTGTATGCTCCCCACCCCCATGGAATTCCTGCTTCAAGCGTTACTCAGAAGTGCAAAAGCAAAAAAGTTCAGTTCATTCAAGCTATGTCCTGGTTCCATCGCTTACCCAAATGTCTTGAATCTGCAATAGTTGCTTCTTCTATTAGTGCCTGTGCGGCAAATCCTGACCATATTATAATGAAATGTTCTGCCATTCAGTTATAGAATTTTAATTTAATTAATGTTTTAAAGATGTTGTTATTAAGTAACATTACCAAGGGAATGAAGTGTGAATTCTTTTTTTGTGTTTACCTTATAGGAGAAGGAGAAATTGAAGCAATAGTTGTCCCTGTGTGTCTAGCATTCCTGATTGTTACTCTCCTGGGAGTACTGTTCTGCTTCAACAAACGAGATGTGTAAGTCTTCTTACTAAGATTCTGTATAATGTGCTATATTATCTCTGAAGGGGAGATATTAAGGGGTCCTAGCATCAGGCACAGTGCAGCAGATTTGCCCAGCTGGGACTCCTGAGGTTTAACAGTGTAGAAAGGATTTGCTGAATTACATCCACACCCATGTCTGATCAGCAGGACATTTGAGGGCATAAGGGTGGTTTAACTGTATATAAATAATATGTATTCCTATCCTTTTGTGAATGTTTGGTGCTTTAGAATGGGGACAGCTTGAAAGTATCTTATTTGCTGCAGGCTGTCCACACACATCTTAGAATCCTGCTAAGCTTGTTTGCTTTTATGAGGCGATTTTGTTCTTTGCAGAGTATTTAAGGTCTTCATTGTGCTGCTAATTCATAACACTGGCTAAATTTTCAGTTTGTTTTTTTTCCTCAAGAAGGATAGAGTATTGAAACCGTTGAGGATGAAAACTAAACTGTATAACCAAATGGAAACAAATTGCTTTGTACTACTTTTACTCTCTGGAGAAATAACAGCAGCCACAGGTCTAGGAGTGTCGATTTGAATGGACCCCCTGCAAGCTAAAGGCATCAGACTTGCAGTGGACTTCCTTAGGATGCCCCTCTACAAGTGGGGGGGAGGTCTATTGCAGGAGGAGGGTCGCAAGTTGGAAAACCAAGTTGATGGGCAGTTACAGCAAGGGCAGCTGGTGATGCCAAGTCTGGCAGGCAGGTGTCCAGAGGCACAGAAGTAGAGGATCTTAGGGTCCAAAGTGCAAAAGGGGGGAGATCTAGCATGGGAGGGTGATGGGAAGTTGAAGTTGGAAAACCAAGTCAATGGGCAGGTTAAGCAGGGGCAGCTGGTGATGCCAAGTGCCCCCCCCCCCCCGTTGCTTTGACAATTAATTGGTTTGACAATTAGTTAGTTGGCGGCACCAACGCTGTGGAACAAGCTCCCTGATGCGATTAGACCTCTACGGGACCTGCAGCAGTGCTGTAGAGCTGTAAAAACGGAGCTGTTCCGCCAAGCGTTCCAATAACAACTGATTGCTCCGGTGGGGCCGCGCTAGCACTTTATTATAGGATGCCGCTGTATTTATTTATTTATTTAGCCTAACTGTATTTATTGCAATTGTATGAATTGTATTTTATTTTGTATTTGCTGGCTTTAAACCGTATGTTGGTTTTAAATTGTTTGTAAGCCGCCCTGAGCCGCTTCGGCGGGAGGGCGGGGTAGAAATTTAATAAAGAAATAAAATAAATAAATTGGTGCCAGTGTGTCTGGCTCACAAGCCTAACGGACCTCCATGAAAAACATGGCGGTTCATGGGCAGGTGATGTGATCTCACGAACTGAGGCCTCATGAACTGGTCATGTTCATGATGAAATTAGGTTTGTGGCCCATCCTTAATCTTAAGTCTTGCAGGGCTCTTCAAAAGGAAGCAGTATGACAGTGCATTCTGCGCACCGAAATGCTGAGTCTGTCTACCCTCACTCTGCCTCCCCAGTTTAAAATGTCACCTCCATATTGTCACTTGGACTGTGTTAGTGCCACTTGCAAGGGACCAGTGTTCTTCCACAGCAATAGCGCTGAGGTGGAAACAAGGGGGGAGTGGCTTTCTAGCCTCTGCCTGACTGCATAATGCTATTCTCTGAAAGCATGGTGTGACCAAAACACAGGGCCTTAAAAATGGTAGTCCTGACTTCAGCTCTGTAACAGCAACAGAAATATTAAACATCAAAAGGTGTTTACACACACACACACAATAACATTAAGTGTTGTTTCTTCCATCGTTTCGCTTTGGCCGCCTTCTCACCCTGCCCACGAGATGGCAGCACAGTCCAGAGTGGGCTGAGGCTAAATTAGTGATGCCATCTGGAGATTATTTAATAATATAGAAATGACTGAATTATTAATTTAAACAATGTTACGTTGATGTTTTTAACTTCTGTTGTACATTGCCCAGAGCCCTGTGCACTTAGGGATTGGGTGATTCATAGATTTAAAGTATAAATAAATATAAATAAATTAAAATGTAGTGGAACATAAAATCATTAACACAGTAGCTGATCATTGTATGCACATGAGAGATGCATAAAGTTCTCAGTAAGTTCATGTGATGGCAGTTCAATGACTTGTCTCTTTCAATCTTTGCCAGCATCAAGAAGCATATCTGGCCTAATGTGCCTGATCCTTCCAAGAGTGTAATTGCTCAGTGGTCACCTCAGACACCGTCTAAGGTAAAGATAAAAACCCTTCTGAATTACAATTGTGTACAACTATAAGCAGAATAGCAGGAGTGTATTTAGGGGTAGACAAGGGTGGGTTTACACATTCTGTGAGGTTAAGGAGGTAGGTCCTAATCAGTCAGATCTGCCAGCAGACTTTTACTGCTCCCTCCACAAACACTGCAGATCCCCACTTCAGTTCACATACTGTTTCTGGGAGTCCACTATTTCAGAGGCGTAATAAACTACAAGAACCATGCCAGTTATAGTAGGTAGAATCCTTTAATGCTAAGTGATGGTTGCACTGAATTGAGTACCACAGCTGTTTTAGATATAGATGGGTATGCTGGCTACAAGAGAACTTGTGTTGCTCCCTCGAAGTAACTACAGTCAGCTCCAGCATAATGAGCCACAAGAACTCTGTGATTATTTTGCTGTATTTCGGTATGCAGGAGTCTGAAAGACTTGGACTACATGTGAGAATATGATTCCACAAGTGGGGGACCCGCAGGGGTGAATCTCATCTTCCCCTCCCCTACTATTTATTATTTATGTATTTATTTGACTTATATCCCGCCCTTCCTCATGGGCTCAGGGCAGCTGACAGGAGGCGATTGTTTTATCTGGTTTTTATTGTTATGTATGGCAATCGATTACATTTACATTTAAAATCGGTGCTCACAAGACAGCATCCAAGATGGGGACTCCAATACAGTGTTTCAAAATTCTACTAGCTCTACTTGATCAGTCTGCGCTATGTCCGTTCTTCAGTTCCAGGGCCAACTCGCATTGCCAAAATTGGCAGCGCGGTGATGGTACAGTGATGGTGGCGGCTCCTACTCAAAAGCCTGGCGGAAGAGCTCCGTCTTGCAGGCCCTGCGAAACTGCATAAGGTCCTGCAGGCCCCTGATCTCCTCCGGGAGCTCGTTTCACCAGATAGGAGCCGCCACCGAAAAGGCCCTGACCCTAGTTGCAGCATATTTGACATCTCTAGGGGCTGGAATAACCAGAAGATGTTTCGCCCTCGACCGTAGTGCCCTTGGGGGAACATATGGGGAAAGGCGGTCCCTTAGGTAAGCTGGACCCTGGCCATATAGGGCTTTATAGGTAAGAACCAGCACTTTGAAGCGGACCCGGTACGCTATTGGCAGCCAGTGCAGCGCCTTCAGCGCAGGCTGGATGTGGTCTCGCCTAGAGAGGCCCATCAAGAGTTTTCCCAGGCAGAGGCTGCCAGAGGTAGGGAAGAAGGAAAAGATGAGAGCAGATAAAGGCAGGTTGGTGGGTGGGTCAGAAGAACTGAAGGAAGTATGAAATCGGGAGAGGCTATGGGGGGCTTTCAGGGAAGGGAAAGAGGAAATAGTGAGGGGAGGGGAAAGTAGATGCCCCCCTCAACTCCTTGCGGGTTCCCACGTGTATATACATAATTGTGTTATTCATGGCTAAGGGCCACTCAACTCCATACAGTGTAATAAAATATATCTTTCCCTTCCCTGAAAGCCCCCCATAACCTCTCCCGATTTCATACTTCCTTCAGTTCTTCTGACCCACCCACCAACCTGCCTTTATCTGCCCTCATCTTGAGCTTTTCCTTCTTCCCTACCTCTGGCAGCCTCTGCCTGGGAAAACTCTGTGTGCCTTCTGGATTCTGGGCTGAGTTGGCTCAGTTAAGTGGTGGGGACTTGAGGGGGTGGCACTTTCCCCTTTATCCCTCCCGCACTATTTCTTCTTCCCATCTTCCTGGCAGCCCCCATATCCCCACCTTTCCCTGCTTCCTTTTCTCCTACCCACCCACCAACCAACTTTTTATCTGCCCCCAGTCTTCAGCTATATTATTTATTTACTTCACATGTATATCTTGCCTTTCTCCATAATGAGGACCCAAAGCAGCTTACATCATTCTCCCCACCTCCATTTTATCCTCAAACTGTGAAGTAGGATAGGCTTGAGACTGTATGACTGACACTAAGCCACCAAGTGAACTTCCATGGCAGAATGCAGATTTGAACCTGGGTCTCCCGGATCACTAAACCACACTAGTTTTTGTGGGTTGGCTGCTGTTGAACAGTTGCAAGCAACCAAGCCTGGGTGAGTCATGCAAGTCAGGTGGCAGCAAATTGCTCATTGGTTGTTTACAGGCCTGGCTTCGATGAGTCCTCAAGGTCCTTGCCCCCTCCTCCTGCCTTTTACTGACAGAAACCAAGACTCAAATGCTGGCAGTACTATGTGGTTGCCTAGCAACTGAGAGCATTCATTTCTTAATGGTACAGCTGCTGCTTTTATTGTTTGGGGAAATTTTATACACACACCCTTTTTGTAGATTTCAGGTATTTCTGCAAACCTGGGAGGTTTTTTTTTTTAGGTTTATAGAAAGGATCAGTGTTTTCTGTTCATGGCTCCAGTCTCTGTGGGTTTGGACATGTTGAGAATTAGATATACTGATTTCTCATTTTTTGGTCTGGGAAAACCCCACAAATGGTAGATGTTTTGTGTAATAAAGCACATGTGCAATTTCATTAATCAGTTAGTGAGCATGAATCTGGTGTATTATGTATGCTGGAATGAACAGAATTTTGTTATAGAGAAACTCTTTCAAACTTGAATAAGAAACATGGTAGCACCTGTGAGGAGAGCCTTAAATGTTTCCGAATAATGCAGTTTGGGACTTCGTGGAATGGATGCAATGCAGAAACACTGGATGATTATTGCACTAACTTCCCATTCAAGAGAAGCTTGATTTTTGAAAAGGAGATTAGGCTGATGCCAAGCCGAGGCAACACAGCCTTAGATATTGACTTTGCTTGTGATCAGGTTGCACCAGATCTATCCATAATTCTTGTTTTGTGTTTCTTTGTAGCATTTTGATTCCAAAGAGCAGATATATCCAGAAGGCAGCTTTACTGATGTCAGCGTTGTCGAAATTGAGGCTGATGACAAGAAATCCTTTTCGGAACAGGATCTGAAGCCTTTCGATTTGCTCAGAAAGGAGAAGAATGCCTCTGAGGGCCACAGCAGTGGTATAGGGGGGTCCTCCTGCATGTCTTCTCCTCGACAGAGTGTTTCAGATAGTGATGAAGGTGAACCTGCTCAAAACACTTCCAGCACCGTGCAGTATTCAACTGTAGTGCTCAATGGCTACAGAGACCAGATACCTCCGGTTCAGGCCTTTTCCAGGTCTGAATCTACTCAGCCCCTGCTGGATTCGGAGGAGCGTCCGGAAGAGCAGCAAGTAGCAGACGGGGGCTGCGGCGGCGGCTCAACCCCAGTGCATCGCTATTTCAAACAGAATTGTAATCGGGAGGAGCCCTTCGCTGAGGAGTCTCATTTGGAAAAAGTAAAACAAATTCCTCCAATAAATGAAGAAGATATTGCTGGACTTCAAGCCTCGCAGACGTGTGGCTCTGTCCTAGAAAGAGAGGAACAGGAAGCTGCTTTTGCAGGTGCCTTCCACCCAAGCCCCGAAGGACAAACTGGGCAGTGTGAAACCGTGGGCATAAAGGCAGTGACTGAGGATGAGATGCCAAAATGCTATCTACCACAGACAGTGAGGCAGGGTGGTTACATGCCCCAGTGATTGAGAGAGACTGCCTCTTGCTAGGCCTCCAATTACAGCCTCCTCTATATAAGTTAATTTTTTTAAGAAAAAAAATCTTGCTTCAGATGAACCATTTTCTTAATGGAAGGGAACTTGGACAACATTTAGGTTTGGGGGGGTTGGTGTAGACTTCTTCCTTCGAGCGCTATATCTCAGTCAAGTTTTCAAAGCAATCTGTGATGCTTTTTGGCCCTGTGGCATCTCATTTCATTGTAATATGAAATGGAAGGTCACTTTCATTTGGCCACAGCAGTGAAAGCATAGAGATGGGGCCTGATTGTAGATGATGTCTTACCATTAGGTTCTGAAGACATTAGGATTGTTACACGATGACTGATTTCCTTTTTGCTAGGCCAGAGTCTGACTGAATTGTAGTACCTTACCTTGAACAACCTTTTTAAAACATTAACCAGAGACCAAAGCTTTGGCTGTCTCTGGCTTGAGGCAGAATGCGTTAGTTGGGACTGCACAGATTCCCAGATTAACTGACTAGAAAGGCTCCATTTATTCAAGGGCCCTCTTCCACCCCCACAGTTCTGTGCACACTCCTTCTCAGGAAACCATGGAATTCATTGCAAGATATTACTTTAAAAGTGGGTTACACAAATTGATGGAGGAGAGGTTCATCAGTGGCAACTAGCTGATGGGTACCGAAGGGAGCCTGCACATTCAGAGGCAGTAGACCCCTGCGTACCAGTTGGCCATCCAGAATAACTGGGTGGTCACTGTGTGATGCAGGATCCTGGATTACATGGACCACTCACCTGATCCAGCAGGGCTCTTCTTATGTTCTTGTGTAAAGATCTGCAATGAGCCAGGTAAAATATTTACCACCTAGTCAAGCGTGGTTATTGCACAAGCCTGAATGCTGGTTAGGGTTAGGGTTTCAATATTGCACCCCTCTGTTTAGGCCTGTTTTTAATTGGAGCCAAACCATAATGAATTGTGGATGTTCTGTTTTGAACGTGAACATTTTTACTACCTGAAAATCTTCTACATGTGCACACTTCCTTTTGTTTAGTTCTCACCCGGTTAAGCTCTAGTAAGATCAACATTTAAATTAATATTGTATAATAAAGTTTTATAAGGTAAGCATTGTGTTGTTAGTGAGAGAGCCTGCTGCTCTTTTACAATCTGCCAGTACCAGGTTCTAGTATTTCTTGCTGCCACTGGCCGCCATCATGGATCTCTAGAGCATTTTGAGGAAACTACTTAAAAGAGCACCAGGAAGAACCACAAAGCCTCAGCACTTTTCATTTCATGACAAAACTTTTCCTAAAAACATTTCTTGCAGTCCTATCTATTTTCATAATAAAATCATCCAGGACAGTTTGGTTCCTATAAACTGACTTGCATCTGATTAGTTTTGTTTTGCATTATAGCATTAATAAGCTGACACTCATTCTGAAAAAAGCCAAAAACACTACAGCTGTTTTAAAGAGAAATAAAGGTTCCTTTTGATTGTTCCTCCAAAATTTAATGATGATGTGGCAACTTACACTTTGAAATCTCTGTGACTAGGGAGCCATCATCTCTGTAGATCATTGTCGCTTTCCCAAGATGTTACCCTATTTGGAAAGTCTCATTTGGATAGCTGGATAATCGCACTGTCATCTCCAAGAAGGGATATTCATGAATAACTTTTAAACCCTTACAGAGTTTATCTACAAATCTATTCCAATTACAGCCGTGCTCTTCAGTTTATTATCAATAAAGGGGGTGATAATGTGGGCCATAACCTTGTATGAGTCCTCCTAGGTTAGGATGTGTTTACTCTCCTCTGGCTTCTACTGCTGGGGTTTCTTCACTGCTCCTCGTATGTATTGTAGTAATATTTCCAGCCATTTTTTTTGTAAAAATGTAATGACAGGCAGCCTTCTCATTTAGTTTGTAGCACTTTTCTGCTTTGGCAATTCACGCTTGCCTTCTCTTTTGAGGAGCCTTTGACTAGTGCGTGTAGAATGCTATTTGTGAATAGCTTACTCTGCCCTGGCAAAACGATTGGATGCTAATCCGTTGTAAAACTGGAGTAAAAAGGGGTGACAGTGTGGCGTGGAAGGAAATGCATCTTGTTCAAAAAATGTTAAGCGCAATCCTATTAGATGTTTTCTGGTCCAAGCTCATGAAGCCACGTGTCTTAGACTGAAGTAACTGCACAGGGTTGTGCCACAGGTCTTCTCTTGCTCTGATTACTTATTTCCACAGTAGAGTCTCACGTTTTTAAAGTGTCTCCCAAAAGAATTTTAATAGAAAGAGTCAGGGCTCTTTTTGTAGAAAAAGCCCAGCAGGAACTCATTGGCACAATAGGCCACACCCAACAGCAGAAACTCATTAGCATATTAGGCCACACCCCTCACAGCACAGCTCATTAGCACATTAGGCCGCACCCTCATGTTACCAGAAGTGTGGTTATCCAGCCACACCCACCTTTTGCTTGTTATTCTGTTTACCTTGTTGTCAAAACCCAGGGCTTTTTTGTAGCAGGAACTCCTTTGCATGTTAGGCCACACACCCCTAACGTAGCCAATCCTAATGAGTTTCTGCTGTTGGGTGTGGCCTATTATGCTAATGAGTTCCTGCAGGGCGTGGCCAACTTGGGAGCCAGCCGGAACTCCGTTCCTGTGCGTTCCTGTCCAAAAATAGCCCTGGAAAGAGTGTTCATTTTATAATACCGTAGTCCTCCATCCCTACCAAGTTCTGATTACTTGATTACTTCTGACGTTTTTGAAACCTGTTCTAGAACTTCCTAGTTCAGAGTTTTCTATCATAGGTGAGGCATTCTGAACATCAGACTGATTTTGAAACAGTCATTAATTCCCAAATTAATTTTGTAAAAATTGAATCAATTTGTGATGTTTCTGCCAGTAGCTTATTAAAAGTTTGTATTCAGAGTCTTCGGAGATTCAACTTATTTGTATAAATGTAGAAATGCCTGTCTTCCTTACATTGTTATTCAAGTCATACTGTTCATGTGTTCTTTTACCTTCTCTAACAACTTAAATGCACATTCTCTTTTCAAGAATTTTTATGTGCCATATAGTGATCACAGTATATTGATATTTATACTTAATATATTATTGATCTTGATCAGCTCGTAGCCTGATTCCAGTATTTAACTGTCATGATTCCTGTACAATAGCACATCAGAGTCTGCCGAAAATGTATCACAAAAACATTTCAAAGCAGTATAAATGTATGTCTTTTGGATTCATGAGCAACTGGGCTTTTGTTTGTGGTCTTGTCATGCTCTACATTAGAAGGGATGCGTCCCTTACTGTCTCACATGTAGGTTGGGTTGATAGAAGAGGTCTTTTTTAAAAGCAGTCTACCCTGATCCCGTTGTAGTGCCATGATCCTCAGGTGAGATAGAAGAAATTGGCAATCTTAATTAAATCTCCGTATAGTTCCTTGTTACATAAATGAACATCTTAATGGTGCTGCATTTTAAATGTGGGTGCAGTGTCCCAGATGCAATCCCCAGCATATCCAGTCCAAAATGTATTAGGTAGTAGGGAATGTGAGAGCTCTGCTTAGAGAGGTATTATCAGTCAGAGTAGGCAATAGTGACCTTGGTTAGACCATTGGTCTAACTCTGTGTAAGGCAACTTCATGTGTTCAGTGTGGGTTAGTAGGCTCTCACTAGAAAATTTACCAGTAGGAAGCAGTGAGCAAGGACCTTCTTATGGGTAGCAGGAGTCTTCTGGCTGAGTTGGTACACAAAATATTAAAAAGCGATATAGCAAAATATAGAAATGGGAGGCTGTTCTCATACAAAAATTCTAATTACTGGTTCCCTTACTAAAATGTCCAGATATCTGTATGCTTGTGTTTTAAAAAGGTTGGTCCCATTGTACTAAGGGTTTTATTTTTGTATATTCTTAGGGAGGGTCTCAGTAGAAATCAGACTGACTGGTTTGAGAGACATTTTGGACCACAACGGGGAGGTGGGAGCAAGAAAGTTGCACTCCACAAATGGAAATCATTCCAGCCACAGAAATACTCCAGTAAATCCATCCCTCTGTTCTTGCAGCTCAGCTCCTGCCTTCACTCCCACTGATCAAAAGCAGCAAAGAAAGACTACATTTTAAAACTTATTGGGATCTTTATGACTCCAGGAATAGTTAACGTGCCAGGAAAGCAGTGGGGTAGGTACATGGACAGGTTGGTCCTATTATATTGGTTCACTTTTGCATAATCTCACTAACAGACAAATGGGTTCTGCATAGCTGGAATAAAACTGTTGCTGGAATTACAAGCATTATTGTGCTGCTTGGCATGAAAAAGTGTAAATGGCATGTTCAAGTTATTTGAGAAGGGCGGTTGATTTATGTGAGATCTGAGCCCATCAAGTTGCCTTGGAGTTATGGCAACCCTATGAATTAATGACCTCCAAAACGACCTTGCTCAGTGCTTGCAAACTGCACACCATAGCTTCCTTTACTGAGTCAATCCATCTCATGGAGGGTCTTCCTCTTTTCCTAGCATTAATGTCTTTTCTAGGGAGTCTTATTTCCTCCTCCCTTTCCTAAATATGGCAGTTGGAGAAACCTAGGCTACATGCTGAGACTTCTGAACCTTCTTTAAAGCAACTTAGAGGAAAAGTGACCCAACAGTAGTTCTCGGTACCAGGAATATAAGTTACATTTCCCTTGTACCTGTTTCACACTACGGTATCGGCCCAATCCTATGGTGGTTGCCTTTTTCCCCTTCACAAGACACACTGTAATGAAAAACTGACTTGCAAGGGTGGTCACGGCAGGGGGAGAGATCCCATTTTTCATTGAAAGTAGTTTAGAAAATCAGTGAACCTCAGCCATGAAGCCAGTTTTCAGTACACTTGTTTAAAGCATAATGTTTAACTTTTCTCGTTTCCTTTGTGCCTGAGGACTGTGTAATAAAATTGTACACATAAGCAACTTTGTGCATTTTGTATTTCAAGCTAAATGATGTGCCGCTGAATGTAACTTTTAACTAGCATATTGCATGGCCTTAAGCCCTATGTAGCCCAATCCTGTGTATGTTGACTCTGAAGTGTCACTGCGTTCAATGGAACTCCCCCCCCCCCATGAGAGTGGACACAATTGCAGCCTTAATGGCATTTGGAATTCATGCAGTTTAAGGGAGACCCAGACCTCCTCCTTGTTGAGTCTTGAAGGCACTGAAGCAATCCACCTCGGCACCTGTTTACATAGGCTCTGTAGTTCACCAGGAAGTATGCATGACTGTATGTTTCCCTCCCTCAAATAAGGCTCCTTGTAGCTTGATTGTGGGCTGAAACGGCAAGCTAAATTGTCCCATTTGTGGCTCAAGGCTTGGCCAACTGGATGTTTGGAGACAAAGCCTATGTTGTTTGTTTTGTGGATAGAGCAGTGTGAGCCTTCTTAAAAAGAGGTCACAGGGAAATATTTGGTTTCAGAAATCTCTGACATTTCATGTTTACTGCCTATATTATGGCTTGTTGCTCATTATGGTTACATATCCAGTGTTATTTGATGTATCTATGCAAAATTCTTAAGTCTGTGTCAGGGCTTGTCTACACTGCAAATCAGCACAACCGCTTTGCAAATATTTACAGTAGTTGCACTGTCTCTGTGCACGAGCATGTACTGTCACCAAAGTGAGAACCCTGTTTGCAGAAGGGGTGGGGAGATTCTGTGCTAAATGATTTTGCTACAAGGGGCAAATGGGTTTCAGTGCCTTGGTAATGGATCCTACCCTTTGTTTTTAGTGTTAACAAAAATGGCACCTAGCTTGATAGATGGTTTTCTTTTGTGCCGGCCAGGAAAGGAAAGAGCAAAGGCCAGGTATTTACCTGGAGTTCTGTATTTGTCTCAACACATTTTCAGTTATGATAGGCCTCAGTGGGGCCCTCCCACCCCGTGCAGAGCTATGCAAGCACACCTCCGTGGGTCTTTTCTAGATAGTTACTTCGACTAAGCACAGTCAGGCATTAAATGGGAAGTGTAGACAAGTACTTGTACATTTGCACAGAAATGTCTGGTAGTCATCCTGTCTTCAAGGTGCATGTTCATTGTCATGTACATGTTATGAAAGCTATATTGTTACTCTTTGTATTAGTAAATACCTTTCTGAGGTGACTGCCCTTTGCTGTATATGTATGTGGCCTTTAAAGAAAACAAAGCTAATACACAATTATAAAAGTATCCATTAAAAGAAATAGGCATTACTTGTTTCTCAGTACTTGTCGGTATTATCTTTAAGACTATCTGAACGTAATAGCACTAAAAGCAAATTGATACCTTGTGGCTTTACTTTTACCTTACCTCTCCCAGGCCTAAACTCTCCCATGGTCACATCTTACTATACCATCTCAAAGCAGCTGCTAGCTGTGGAGTCTGATTCTAATGGAGTTAGTCATGACAGGGAAGGTTTGTTAACCCACAGACACTCGCTATTGACCCCAGTTTGCATTGCATTCCCCCCCAGGACAAGGATGAACAATTCCAATCCAGCCCCCAACACGGGTGCCAGAGAGAGACCTGATTCAAGCCCATCTGGTCATAAAGCTTCCTGGCTTGATGACCTTAAGCCAGTCACACCCAACTTAACCTTCTTCACAGGCCTGACAAGATACTGAAATGGAATGGGACTATTGTGCACGCCTTGAGTTCCTTGGAGAAAGAAGCAGATTAAAAAATAATACAATACTTAAAAAAAACCAAGCCCTATGAACTTTTCTTCTCCTCCAATAACCCTGCTCTCTCCACTGACAGAGTACAATAGAATTTTATTAAACTGGTTTAATGCTTTAATAGTGAGTAACAACTTCCTTGTAGGCAGGGTTGTTCTGAACAGGATCGTGCATAAAGTCCAGACGTTGAGCCCTGTTTAGCACTTGTCTGGTCGAACAGGACTGGTCTTGTTCATGCATCTCAGCAGTTGTGTGACTTCTGGACAGTCAGTTTTTGATAAGTGAAAGAGTTTCGCAGCCTTTACCACATCTCTCCCGCTAACAGACCTATGAGGGAAATCGCTTCCTAGCTGAGCCCGAGTTAAAAACAGATGGGAGGCAAAAGCTCTGTAATGAGAGAGTTCTAAAAACTATTCTGCGGTCCCAGTTGACAGCAGCTTTGAAGGAGCAGGAAAGGGTCACTGGGAGAAATAGGGTGTTGTGGCATCTTCATCCCACGCTGCGTCTACAATTTAAAGCACTCCTCTAAGAGAAAGACAGGTACAGGTAATTTTACCTGTCTCTACCACCACCTACTGCTAATCACAATGCAGACAGCAGGGGTATTAGTTCTGAAAAAACATGGAAGACCCTCCCCCATCAGGTTTAGTCTATGGGTGAATGTGCGACTGACCTGGGGCTTGAACACCCAATCCAAGGATTATTTTTTTCTTTCCCATTAAGTTGTGGTCAACTTAAGGCAACTCTGTGGGGTTTCCAAGGCAAGAGACGTTCAGAGGTGGTTTGCCATTGCCTGCCTCTGCGCTGTGACCCAGGGCTTCCTTGGTGGTCTCTCATCCAAAGGGCTGACCCACTTAGCTTCTGAGTTCTGACGAGGTCAGTCTAACCTGGGTTATCCAGGTCAGGGCAGCCAAGGTTATTTACCGGCTCACAAGTCCATATTATTGTGCACACAGCTCTGTGTGTCCACACTGAACAACGACACAGAGTCTGATGTATTTACGTTGCTGTTGCTGTGTGGAAGTATTTGGGTTTTTTGTCTAACCGATCTAAGGGATATTTTTCACTTGCGCTCTGTAGTTGGTTGTTTACAAATTAACTGTTCCACTTTTTTCCTAGTAGCTCCTGCCAGCCTAGCAGTTCGAAAGCAAGAAATTGCAAGTAGATAAATAGGTACCACTTCGGTGGGAAGGGAACAGCGTTCCGTGCGCCTTGGTGTTTAGTCATGCCAGCCACATGACCACCGAAATGTCTTCGGACAGCTCTGGCTCTTCGGCTTTGAAACGGAGATGAGCACCACAACCTTAGGGTCGGACTCGGCTTGCTTTCGAGCAAGGGAACTTTTACCTTTACCTTACCAGAGAGAGAGAGAGAGAGTGTGTATCTAAGCCGTATATATGTGTCCTTAAAATTGTGTTTACTTGTGCTATGTTGCTATGCTGCTGCCACTGTAACGCTCTCTATATGCATCCTGGCATGAGATACCAGCCAGAAAGAGAAAATGGGAGACCATTTAAAATATTAGATAGTTTCCTAACGTCATTTATATACAACTTCCCTAGAATCCATCAGGCTCTTGACTGCATTCTCTTCTCAACTACTCTGTCTGGTCCAGATTAACATTTACAGACAGCTGGGGCCCCTAAAAATCCAAATGGCAGCTCAACATCCAAAACCTCTGAGTGGATGTAACTAACTGAAGAACCTTTATGTGGCTTGAAAAGGCCACACAGTTCAAACACGTCTCAGGCAGAAAAGTCCCCGGAGGCATACTGGACCATCCCATGCAGGGCTCACTTAGGTGAGAAAGCATCCCCACTTGAAAAGCATACAACAGGCAATATGAGACCTAACCTTCCATCTGTCAAAAGAATCCCCCCCCCTCCCCTCATCTGGAATCTAACTTTCCAAGTCGGAGTACATCCAAACAAGCAAGAACACGTAACAAGTGGAGATTCTGTGGAAGAGGCCTCCATGAAGAAGAGCTGACTCCACCTTCTTTCCCATGAGCCATCTCTTTGCAAATCAGTGGGATTAGTGTGGCGGGTGCTAGAGACAGCACAGGAGAAGGAAACGGGGAAGGAGGATAAGAGGTACTCGCTGCAGAACATACAGTGTATGTGAAGACTGAAAGGAGGTGAAAAGTGAAATGCTGAAGTAAGGAACGGGAGTGAAGCAAGTAGGTGGGGGAAGTCTGGCAGGGTGATTTGTAGAAAGTGGACAAAGGAGGACACTTCACTGCCCTGGGTTAAATGAAATGTTTGAGGTAGATAGATGATATGTCTCTCTGCCTATTTATATATTTCAAGAAGGAGGTTAGAAAGAAAGCAGTTCTGTTCTGCATTTTAAAGTTTCCCGGTCCACTCTGGTCCCTGGTCGCTCATCTTTCTTTGAGACCCCAGGAGAGAGGGATCAGCACCCGCTGCCTTAAAGGGGTACGTTCCAAACAGTCTGCACAAGCAGCGGGGAATGGAATAAATTAGTACGATTTCCTTTCTGCTGATGAAACACAAAACCTAGCAGAAAAGCCATGAAATATTTGACAGAAGTCCAGTGTTCACAGGAAACACTTATCTGAAGAAGCAGTCGTGACTCTCTCTTTAGTCTGCGAGGTCAACAGGAATCCGATCCAAAGCGCTTCAAGTCCTCTGCGATTCCACTAATGCTGAGTCAGGACAATGGCATCCAGTGCCACATATTGTTGCCCGTCGCCACTTGACACACAAGGGGGGGTGGTCTCTTTCTTTCTTTCTTTCTTCTTTGGGACTGACAAGTCCTTGCACACCAGAAACTCCCTTGTACAGACAGAGTTTTTTAAATAGGAGTTGAATTCAGTTTTTTCTTTCACGTTTGTCTGATCTTGTTTTTCCTCATCTTTACAGTTTGAATTCGGAGAGTCTTCAGATGAGCTTTCTTCTGGTTTTTGTAAAAGTGGCTGTTGGACCATTGGATCTGGAAGTCGTTGACTCCTGAAATGTTGACTAGGGGAGGGCGCTGTCTGTAAGAGAAGTTTCATAGCTTCGTGTTCTCCACTGCCTGAAGCCTCATGCTGGCAAACAGCATCTTCTGTAGTGACCTTGGACTGTCCCAAGCACTCCTCAAGCTTCAGTAGCTGATACTCGTCATTTTCGTCTACTTTCAAAATACTGATGACCTCAGGGATGACTGTGTTCTCCTCAGACTGTGGTTCTTTCAATGGCTTTTCCTGTTGGGGAAAGAAATTCCACGCAACAGTAAACGTAAACTTCTCTTGGGTTCCACCAGTGGAAAACTAAATGTGCAGTTCTTACTTATTTCAGTCTGTATGCAGAGGGAAGTATATGCATAAATTACATACTGGAAACATCAAGGTAAAAGACTATGAGCCCGTAGTCTTTGCTGCATGTTTTCAGTAAGACAAACATTGCCTGCATGAGTCTGGGATAAATATGATATAAATAAGAGGCCAATCACACCAGTGCTGTGACTGACATTCTCTTTTCCCCTACTTGGTTCTAAGATCAATAAATCAGCTTCTTAACATTTTCAACCTGCAAGCCTCAGGCTACCTCTGTAACTTTTCTGTGGATTATAGAAAAAGTGAGGAGCACTAGTAATAGTAGATTAGCTTTAGGGTATTCGAAGCACTTCACATATGTCGAGTTGCAGCCAAACAGCTTTTCTGCTGGTAAAAAGGGAGAAGTGGTCCTCTGTGACCACCCAAAAAAGCAATGTTGGGGATCATAGGACCTGAACGGACAAAATGCATGCGGGACAAGGGGCTATAGTATGGAGGTGAATAGGACAAAACCGAACAAAAAAGTTGGCAGGATGCAACCCATTGGCTTCTATCCAACCATCTGTACACAACCCCCCCCCCAACTGGTTACCTGTAATTCTTATTCTTTGAGCTGTACATTCACACTGATGGGTTTTGTACCTGTGCAGAGTTACGATCCAGATACTTCTAGAGTATTTTGTTGTGAAAAGTGAAGCGCAACAAGTGTCTGAAATTATTCCTCCACTGAAGGGGGGGCAATTTCATCCCCTTGTCCCTCCACACTCAGCTAATCCTGCAAACATGTCTTGCAACCCCAGGAATGATCTTCCTGTGGGTCAGAAAGAGGCTGCAGGAACAGAGAGGAACACAGGAATGCTCTGGGTGTCCTTCATGTATAGGTGGTGGGATACAAGCCACTCTCTCTGTGACTCGTTCATCAGGCTTGTACACAAGTTATTGTTATCCCTATAATGCAGCAAGTAGTAAAGTGTGAATGTTAGTGGCTGCACAATACACAATACACCGGTGGCACAGAGGATTTATACTCTGGTTAACATCTGAGCTGAACAGAGCTGCTGTCAGTTCTAGCCCCGTGCTGGTGTAAGCTACCAGCCTTGTCCCCAGCTCGCCGTCCACCCAACGGTTCGAAAGCTTTAGTGAGTAGATAAAATGGGTACCACTCCTTAGAGAGGGTGGGCACACTAAACCCCCGTAGGGGAGGTGTTAGCCGGCGAAATGGAATGCCCAGCTCGTAAGCTCGGAAGCCTGATAAAAAGACCTCTTCAGCATTAAGAAGCCTGTAATGGGCCAATCCGGCCAGGTGGTGGCAGTGCGGCGCTACGATTCAAAGCAGCCCAGGAAGAACCAACGTCATCAAGCCAAGCCGAAAAGTGAATGCCTCTGGAACACGTCTGAAGCCTACAGCTGAACAAAAATCCCCATCGGCTGCAAAATGTGTGCGATTTAAAGAATTATATGTTGTCCTCCCTTACCCCTATGAAATTGTAAGTCCCTTGTGTGAAACCGTGTAACTGTAAATCGCTCAGAGCCAGCAGCTCCGCCGGATTGAGCGATCAATAAATCGAAAGGTATTATTATAATTATTATTATACCTGGCAGTATCTGATACAAAATCCCTACTCAGCTACTAACTAGAGGAATGTTGCACTACCTCACAATACCTATGGGAACTGCAGAGGTTACCTCACAAAGTTATTGTGAAAGGAAACTACCTACAAATTAGGAGTCTTTAACATTCTTCTCCGCTAATGTTATTACAAATGCACATGGTTAATGTTCACAGGCTCACACATGTCCCATCATGAAATCTAGGCTCAACCACCCCTGCCAGCCGCAGAAAGTTCTTTCTAGTGAAATCTCTGGCTGTAGGACAGAAATTGACAGAAATTTAATCAAAAATCATTTCTGAATGCAGTCATTACCAGATTGTCCTGGTTCATCTCAGGTAACTTAGGATGTGGTATTTTCGGCCAGAAAATCCTTTTTAACCTGCCGGGGGGGGGGGGGACACACAAGCAAACAAAAGGTTTTAGTTAGCTAAAAATGGAATTTGTTGGCAACTATCAAGGAGAACCCAATAGTGCTTTAGGATAATGTGTACATTTTGTACCAAACCATCAGAAGAATTACCTGCTCACCAAGGGCCTCTGCTTTTCTTTTGGTTAATTCTTCTGGTACAGACTGGCACAAGAAGGTTCTATTTTACTGTGCTTACATAGCAAAGAATGCCTTGCCCGTCCCCCGTCCCCCCCCGTAAAGGACTGCTGTAAAACATTTACTCACATGCGTTTTTTCAGGGCCCACAATAACCCAAAAATTAACAGGCACAGGATTAACAGTCCAGCAAAGACATTTATAAGGACTATTTCTACTAGACCTAGAGGAGGGGGAAGAGAAAACAGAAAATAATATTAAAACATCAATGAGACTCATACAGAAGGATCTGCATTTAGGACGGTGGTCAAAGAAGGAAGTAAATTAGTGCAATTATCCTATTTCTACACCAGAAATCTACTGAGCTCAATAAGAACATTAATAGACATGATTTCTCCAATGAGAACTGCACAAAAAGGTGAAATTTGTTTTGTACATACAATCAACTCAGTTAACGGCCGACGTGTTCTAAAGAAAAAATTCGTAAGAAATGCAGTATAACAATATTCAGGTATTTGATGTCCCAGATTTTTTTTTCTTGAGCATATTTGCAGATGTGCATTTTACTATTATAGATCTAATTCCTAACCAGGCCATAGCGTATGGATCAGTAGGGAAGCTGGTTTGGTGGGGAAGCCAGTTTGGTGTAGTGGTTCAGTGCGTGGACTCTAATCTGGGAGAACCGGGTTTGATTCCCTACTCCTCCACTTGCACCTGCTGGATGACCTTGGGCAAGCCATAGCTCTGGCACAACTGTTCTTGAAAAAGAGCAGTTTCTGTCAGAGCTCTCTCAGCCCCACCTACCTCACAGGATGTCTATTGTGTGGAGAGGGAAAGGAGTTTGTAAGCCACTGAGACTCCTTTGGGTAGTGAAGGGTAGGGTATAAATCCAATCTCTTCTCTTCTCTTCAATAGATCCACGAAATGAAGGACAGATGTGGCATTTCTCTACAAATCTAAAAAAAGCCCAGGTTGGCAGAAAAAAATTAAATCTAAATACATCAGAGAATTAAATACATCAGGGAATTTTAAAAAACACAAAAATAACAGAAACTACACATGTACACTTAAGAAAAGAATGTCAAGATCTCAGTAGCCACTTTGGAGGTTACTAGGCAACCACGACAATATTGCTGAGCTTTCTAAGCCTTGGTTTCTATAAAACAAAGCCCTGGGGCCAAAACAACCCTGAAAAGCCCTGTCCACCCACCCTGTCATGTTTCCTGAAGGATGAGTGGTTGCTGAAGACAGGCCCTGTGGCAACCACTGGAGACTCACTACCCAAACAAATGGGCTTGGCCCAGCCAGGCCAGCACTGTGTAACTGGGCTGACCCAGAGGTTGTCACCATGCAACTCAGCCAGACTCTTCCCAGAGAGAGACTGCCAGGGAGTGGGAAGGAGGGAAGCCTGAAGACAGAGGAACAGATAAAAGTAGACTGGCTGTAGCTGGGAAGGAGAGCAGGAAGCAGGAAGCGGAGAGAGAGTCTTTAGGGGCTTTTGGGGAAGGAAAAGAAGAAATAGTAGGAGTGAAGAAAATGAGATGCTCCCCACAAGTCATTGTGGGTCCCTTGCTTGTGCTTCTATAATTCAGAGTGATGGAGCTTCCGGTTTTGGCGCTTCAACGATGGCTGCATCCCTTGGCTCCTCCAAGAGACGTGTGCCATGAATCGGGGATTAGGAGGGAGCGTGATTGTGCAATGGGCTTCTAGCCAGGGGGCTTTGGAGAGCCCTACCTCCGGCTGGTAGCCGGTACAGGGGGGCTATTCACTGCCCTGAAGGTCCTGCCCTGATTCCCAGCATTGGATTAGAAGCGACCATCGGGACAAACATTTGGAGGTTTAGCAATTTTCTCTGCCTGGCGTGATCCCAGGGGCCGTCTCAGGACCTGGTGGATTGATTCAAGGATTGATGAGTGAGTTGCCGTTGAAACGAGACACCAAAGCCTAGATGTGAAGTCCCCCTACTATAAGCGTATAAATGGAGGGGGGTAGGGGACGCCCTATCTCCCGACGTTTTAAGCAAATGTGAAAGCACAGGTGGAGGGACCGATAGGGTTGCCAAATCAGACTTACCTCGCCGGCGGGGGACTCTGGGGTGGCTCGCGGAGCGCACACGCGCTGCATGCACGTCACAGGGAAGTGATGTCATGACGCCGGGCACGCTGGGGGCGGGGCCACAGCCATTTGAGGGGAAAACTCTATGTCTCTAAGGTCTGTTTAAACGCTCAGCTTTCTTTCAGAAAAACTCTCCGCTACAGTCCATTGCCACAATTTGATCAGTCCCTAGGGCTGCCAAGTCCCCCCGGGGGGTGGATTTCCCCCCGCTTTGGAGGCCCGATTTCCGCCCCCGCGAAATCAGGCCCCGGGGGAAACCCCACCCCCACGTGCACGTCACAGGGAAGTGACGTCATGACGCCAGGCACGCTGGGGGCGGGGCCACAGCCATTTGAGGGGAAAACATAGAGTTTTAAGCATTGTAAAACCTCCATACTTGGGTTTTTAGTTAGGTTTTTTTTACTTTCTCCTATAGATTGTAGGGAGCTGCGGTGGCTCAAGTGGTTAAGATGCTGAACTGCAGGCTGTGGAAGGTCGGTAGTTCAGCAGTTTGAGACCCGGGTGCCGCATGACGGAGTAAGCTCCCGTCTCTAGTTCCAGCTCCTGCCAACTTAGCAGTTCGAAAGCAAGAAATTGCAAGTAGATAAATAGGTACCACTTCAGTGGGAAGGTAACAGCGTTCCGTGCGCCTTCGTGTTTAGTCATGCCGGCCACATGACCATGGAAACGTCTTCGGAGAGCGCTGGTTCTTCGGCTTTGAAATGGAGATGAGCACCGCAACCCTAGAGTCAGACTCGACTGGCTTTTGAGCAAGGGAACCTTTACCTTTTTATAGATTGTAGATCTTCCCTCCCCAATTTCTGTTGTAGTTTTATAGAAATGCAAATAAAAAATTCCCCTTCGGGGAACCAAAATATATATATATATAATTCAAAGTGATGCATGGAAATGAATATGGGACAGTAAATATTTATTTACTTACTTTATTTATACCCCGCCTTTTTCCCCAGTGGGGACCCAAAGCAGCTTGCATCACTCTCCTCTCCTCCATTTCATCCTCACTACAACCATGTCGTATATGAGATGCAGGATCAAATTTACCCAAGGTCTCATGTTTTGCACTTTTTATGCATACATAGAAATGGGGAGGGGGGTGTTGAAATGTGTCACTTCCTAAGTGCAACCATCCACACAGATGTCACTGTGTTCATATGTTCAGGGGTCATTTCGTAGAAAAAGAGGTGCAGGAGCTCATTAGCATAACTTATTAGCATAACTTATTTGCATATGCCACACCCCCTGACATCACCGGAAGTGTGTCAGAAGGCAACACCCACCACTCAGGCTCCACTGGACTGTTTTGGATTGCTAGCTATGGGGGGGGGGAACGCGCAGATCTGCCCTCACAGAGGAGGGAGAGCTTGAAGGCGGGCAGGGGGAGCCCTCTGCAACTTACCTGGCTGCTTCTTGTTTCTCGTGGCCTGACTGAGGGCTGCTGGAAGCAGGGGGTGGGGCTTGTTGCATGTGCCCGCCCCCTAGGCTCCTTACTGCCGGAGCTCCACTCCTGTGCGCTCCTGCAGGAAATTACCCCTGCATATGTTCAATAACTGCTTGCAGAGCAACTCTATCCTTGCCACACCACATGGGAATCTGTGTGGTGTGGTTTCTCTTTTGAATCTGTTTCAGAGTTAGAATTTGTTTGTGTGATTTGGTTTTCCTCCATGGCATCACAAATCCCCAGAAAAGTTCATTCTGTGCGGTGCTCTGCCTGTACACATTCAACAGTCAAATTTACTGTTCAATGGCTGCAATGAGGGTGAACCAATTCCAAAGATATCCTTTTCCTTTTTGTCAAGTTTCACATAATTTAATTTTTTTTTTAACTTTATTTTTTAAGATGTGAAAAGTAGATATGAGGGGGACTACTACTCCCATGGTGCTTTGCAAAAACACACATGCACAACAACCCTCCCATTTCAAGCAAACCTGTAACCATTACCACCAATAAGGAATGCAAAAAGGAACAGTGGACCCTAGAACTTTTTTAAAGCATTGATTTGCTGACAGTTTGTATGACTGATTTAACTCTGTGTTTTGACTGCAGAGTGAAGCAGTATGCAGCAATGACTGGGGGGGGGGGGGCGAAGAACTCCATTGAACTGTGTGGTTATACATATGCATGAAGGTCAATCATGCTGTAATGTGCTGAGAAGGCCTACAGAAACAGCCACAAACAGGATGTCAGCGGAAGAAGAAGAAGAGGAGATTGGATTTATACCCCGCCCTTCACTACCCAAAGGAGTCTCAGAGCAGCTTACAAACTCCTTTCCCTTCCCCTCCCCACAACAGACACCCTGTGAGGTAGGTGGGGCTGAGAGAGCTCTGACAGAAACTGCTCTTTTTCAAGAACAGCTCTTATCAGAGCTACGGCTTGCCCAAGGTCATCCAGCCAGGTGCAAGTGGAGGAGTGGGGAATCAAACCCAGTTCTCCCAGATTAGAATCCGTGCACTTAACCACTACACCAAACCAGGCCCGAGGCCTGTAGCTAGGACCTTTCTAGTGGGGGGGCCCTGGGGAAAGTGGAGGGGCCGGAGTGTGTGCGTGCGCCCGCGCGCCGCATGCACATCACCCTGAAGTGACGTAATGACGCCGGACACGCTGGGCGGGGCCACGACCATACAAGGGGAAACACCTCACCGGCTCCGAGGAAGAGTCCCGTCTAAATGCAGCCGCTTCTCTGTTGCAAGTGAGGGCTGCCTGCGCCGCCTCTCACCGGCAAACTGCTGCGCCCCGTTGGAAAGCGCGCTCGCCTCTCCGAATGGGAAGCAGTCCATTTTCATACCTCTGTAATTGGTGCGAGTTGTGAAGAGAAGTGCTGCCGCTCCGGCCGGCAGGCCGGGGTCAGGCAGCGTGGAATTGAATCAGAAGGAGCCCGCGGTGGCTTCCAGACAGGCAGGGGGCCCACGCAGGCTCCGCTTCGACCGGATCCCGCCCGCGTACCCCCGCCTACGCCGATTGGGTTAGAGGAGGCTCAGCTGGGGCGCCGGCTTGACCTTGCGGGGAGGGAGCCGCGGGAAGAAACGGTACTTTTAATAAGAGTGAAGCTGTGAGACAAGCTGACACGCAAACAGGGGCGATTGGACGGCGGGGAGGCGGTGTGGACTTTCAGGGAGGGGAAATGGGGTTAGTTGTGTGTGAAGAAGACCTAGCTCCCGCTTCCCCTCCTCCACCCCCCAGCCCACCGGGAACAGCCACAGCCCGCCTGCTGGGCCGTCCACAAACCCACCTGGGCATGGCGAGGAAGGGGAGGAGGAGGAGAGGAGGCCACCGTGCCCCTCAAGCCCCCTGATGCCGCCTCGGCCTCCAGTGCTGCCGCCACCAGCCTCTCATCATCTTCGGGCCGGGGGGGAGGGGGAGCAGAGGATCGGGGGAGGGGCCCACAAAACCCACGGGAGGCCGGGCCATGTGGGCCCCACGTGAGCTACGGGCCTGCACCAAACTGGCTCTGGCAGTGGGACCAACAATTGAAAAATCTTCTGCCTGACTGGTGAGCAGGACGTGAACTGAACCGGCTGGTGTTTGAGCATCCCTAGTTGCCATCCAAGCCTGACTGTACCAAACTGGGAGCAACTAAACAGTACCCCACGTTGCTTCTCAGAGATAACAACATGTACCAACTCTTAGCCAGAGGAATATCTGTGAGGGCCTTCTTAAGCTGTAAAATGGTAAACGTGATATACCTCAGTTAGCTCTGTGGAAATAGACACAGATTTCATACTAATGTTCATCAGCCAGAGAGATTTTTCACCCAACAGAATGATAGAATCATAGAATGTTAGAGTTGGAAGGGACCTTGCGGGTCATCTAGTCCAACCCCCTGCACTCTGCAGGAGCATAGCCGAAAGATAGCCCTACATACCTACAACATACCCGAAAGATGGTCGTCCAGCCTCCACTTGAAAACGTCCAGTGAAGGAACATCCACCCCCTCCGAAGGCAGACTGTTCCACTGCTCAACCACTCTTACAGTTAGGAAGTTTCTCCTGATATTTAGCTGGTAACGACTCGCTTGTAATTTCCACCCATTAGATCTAGTCTTGCAATCCGGAGCAAGAGAGAATAGATCGGCTCCATCTTCTACATGCCAGCCCTTCAAATACTTGAAGACTGCAATCATGTCCCCTCTAAGCCTTCTCTTTCCCAGGCTAAGCGTACCCAACTGTTTCAGCCTTTCCTCATAAGACTTGGATTCCAACCCTCTCACCATCCTGGTTGCCCTCTTCTGGGCACGCTCGAGCTTGTCAACATCCTTCCTAACATGTGGTGCCCAAAACTGGACACAGTACTCCAGGTGAGGCCTGACCATAGCAGAATAGAGTGGAACTACCACCTCCCTTGATCTGGACACAATGCTTCTGTTTATACATCCTAAGATTGCATTAGCTTTCTTCACAGCCACATCGCACTGCAGGTTCATGTTTAGCTTGAGGTTCTATGGCTTTTGCTCAAAGTTAACTCACTATAAGAAACCAGCACCATCTTCTCCAAGGCCTAATTCAGCACACATTAAAATGATCCATTAAGGGAAAAGCAATTTACACAGAGCAACGTACTAAGTCGGTTGGTGATGAAAGTGACATCGTTCCCCTTGGTTCCACCAGCAATGGTGCTTGCCATAACATAAGCTGTGTACTGGACATTAGCTTGCAAGGACTTTAGTCGGTATTGTAGCAGACTAGCATTCACCGTCTTTCCTAAAATGAAAAATTTTTTAGCATTAACTGTTAAGCTAATCTAAGACACAGTAGAATTTATACAATTCCTTTGAACTCAAAGAAACCCCCCAAAGTCACTTTTGCTACAAAGCTGCCCTTATACCACTAATCAACAATAGAGGGCAGCATATGCTACATAACACTACAGAACAAACCAAAAAAAAAAAAAGAGGAGGAAATTCTGTATATACCCATACAATGGAAGCGCTTTCAGTAAATTCTTTTCAGGTAGAATGCAAAATATGCATCTGCTGCTTTTTAAAAATATGCATCTGCTGCTTTAAAAAAAAATTGCATTCAAATTATGTATTAAATACAGACAAATTATGTATTAAATGCAGACAGTAATAGATAACAAGGAGAAGAGAGGCAGAAAGGAGAAGTAAGGAGATGGCTCTAAAATTCGTTTTACAGCCTAACGTGATTAAGGTGGGTAGCCGTGCTGGTCTGAAACAAAAGAACAAAGTTTGAGTCCAGTTTAAGACCAACAAAGTTTCATTCTGACTATAAGCATCTACACAAAAGCTTATGCCCAGAATTAAACTTTGTTGGTCTTAAGGGTGCCACTGGACTCAAACTTAACTTGATGTGGTTATATTAAATTACATCTCTCCATAGGTTCTTGGCACTTGATTAAAGATAATGAGTTGTAGAATATGAGTTGACACAAGATATAAATAGGTTCCAAAAATAAAGAAAGCATCAGCAATTGTTTGGGGTTTTTTACCAATCTAATTTGGAGACTTAATTTTAGTAATAGAGCTGTTTTACAAAGATGTTCATGCCACATGCTGACCGTAATTTTTGTTACAGATTTCCGGTGCTCAGATACAATGGATCATGGTGCTAGTAGAGGGAATTTTTATTAAAGGTCTGCATGCCAAATTTTTTACTTTTCTCTATAAATAAATGTAATAATAAATAAATAAACATAATAAAGCCAATTTTGGTATCAAATTCATTTTTAATATTTTGTTAATCTCATTACATCAGTTGCCAGAGTCTCTGTTTTGCATGCAGAAGGTCTCAGGATTAACCCCTGGCACCTCCAGCTAAAAGGATCTGCTAAATCAGGTATGTCCAACAGGTAGATCGTGATCTACCAGTAGATCGCGGAGGGGTCAGAGGTAGATCACCAGCCCCACTTGGTCTCCTGACAGAAGGTGCATTATAAATGGGGGGGCGGGGCGGTGGAACCCGACTTTAGTGGGTTAAAATCTAATTTGAAACTAATTTGAAACTTTATTTTCATGGTGGTAGATCACCGGCACTCTTGGCCGTAAAAAATAGATCACTACCTGTCCGAAGTTGGACATGCCTGTGCTAAATCAAATCCAGATAAATAAAACTAGATGCTAGGTTTGATAGCTATTCTACTTCAATGCCTCACTTTAGAGTGCCATCTCGGACTCTCAGAAACCACACACTAGCGTCAAAACATTCTTAACAGAATAGTGTTAGATGGTGTCTGTATATTCTGCTTCACATGTGTATACATACCTATCTCTTTCCCACCTTCTGTTATGTAGAATATAGTGTAGTTAATAATATCACCATTTGCTTTCCCTTTTTCAATTTCCTTCCACTTTATGGTAGCCTCATTTTTATCGACATTCTCTACTTCTGCAACAGGGCCGTCTGAGGGACCTAAATCAAGTACACACACATTAAAAAACACTTAAAAACTTGAATTATTTTGACATGCCCCTTTACTAAGCAGTGGTGCTAAACGTTTAGCTGATATTTCACAAGTCAAACCTGTGGTTTCATACCATGCAAGTCAGGAGATCTAACACTCTGCTAGATCTTACCAAAGTACTTTCTTCAATGATAAGAAAGAAAACAGTGCCTTTTATGTCAGTCTTTGTTCCTGCAGTTAATCACCCACCTACTCAGGTGAGGCAAACAGCCATTCCATCTAGGGAAGCAGCCTACCAGACCTCAACCACTTTAACTGCATTTTGCACACATGGACATGTGTGCTGGGTCAGTAGAAGCACTATTGTGTTTGTTTTACAGAACCTTGACACAAAACACACAGGGGTATCGATATTTGGAATAAAGCTTTTCTTCCCACTGCACCATTGGTTTGTTTATTTGCTCCAACTGGTGTGGCCCTTCATTCTCATCTTTCTAAGAGAAGCAGCAGGAGGGATCATAGAAACATGGAAATAACAGACATAAAGGACTAAGCACAATTTTTTGTATTACAGCTGCTTCCTGATAATTACGTTCCCAAGCATATCATCATCATCATATCTAATTCTGAACCAGGACCTAGACTGTAGATATAAAAATCCACAAAATGGATCCAGATACAAAAATGGGGGGGTCTACAATCCTAGGTTTGCAGAAAAATTCAAAATTTAAAAATTAGATGGTCAAAAAAACCCAAATAATAGAAGCGATATGTATAGTTGGAAGAGAAGAACGCCCAAAGAGATTTCATTAGACTATGTACTGAGATCTCAGTGGCAATTTTGGGGGTTGCTAGGCAACCACAACAATATTGCTGAGCCTTTCAAGTTTCACTTTCTATCAAAGGCAGAGGAGACTGAAAAAAGAAAAAAAATGAGAGGGAGGGAAGCAGTACAGAAAGGGGAAAGAAAAAAGGGAAGCTGAAAAGAGGAGAGCAGAAAAAGTAAGGCTGCCATTCCCCTGATGGGGGAAGGGGTTTGCTTGCTTTTGGGCCCCCAGATCCACCAGCCCAGATTTGGCCGGCAGGGGGAACTCCACCCCCAAAGCACCCTGTTTGTGGCAATGCAATCGGCGCAATGACATCACCCAGAGGTGACATCGCGCAGGGATGTTGCAGGGGGGGGGGTCAATCATTTAAGGAACAACCATAGAGTTTTCCTTAAATGATAGAGCGTCCCCTGCAACGTGCCCTGCCCAATGACATTACTACTGAGTGACATCAAGCAGGGGGCTGCCAGAGGGAGAGAAAGAAGAACTGGGAAGGGGGATACAGGGGGAAATGAGATGTTCCCTGCAAATCCTCAGGAGTCCACAGCTCGGGCAGATTCTATTAACAGAATGAATTCATTACAGGACTGTCATAACCACTTATACATACGCCCTTGCTTAAAGTAGGTCCTTATGGAACTTGGAGCTTTTATTTCATCTTTATACACAGGGTACACCGAGATGTTGTAACATTTATATTGTTCGAAGGCTCCTGGAAAGAACAAAACAGAAACACATGATTATGGCTCTTTCGAGATCATGGCTCTTTCAGCATGGCATATTATATACCCAAACACACTATACATAAGCATTATGTACTCATACAGCGATGAAAGGCAGCACAACAAAACACCAGAATAATCACTTTGCACTCCATTAGAAACTTCATTTTATGGTGTTGTCAGGAGGTGGTGTCCCTGCACTTATCCACTCAGTTGGAAGTGGCCCAGGGCCAGCTGCAGCAAGAAAGGCCCTGCAGGAGCCAGCAGCCAGGCCCAACGGATCCCAGGGCCATGGCAATAACAGAGGAGGCATCGTGGGACTCCAGCGAGCCCAGACAAGGATATAGGGGAGAGTGCCTTGTTGATGTCATGCACCCCGGGTCTCATCATTGGTCCAGGTAATCTATTGTTCTCACCTGAGACCAGCCCCCAAGGCCTTCCATTGGTCTGCATTGTTTTCCAATGTCTATAACTGTCCAGGCACATGGCCTCAGACTGTGTGCCTTGCCCTGATGCCAACTAGCAGTCCACCCCTAAACCTCTGGGTTTAGGCCATAATCCCTTCTTCATGGACCTCTGCATGTCTGGACAGGTAGTATCACCCCATAACGGACCCTTCTATTAGCTATCAATCACCTCTGCTTTCTTTGTTCTGTATTGTGTGTGTGAATGCTTGTATGTTTAAGAATCCTTCAGTAAAGAAATCACTGCTTTAGTAATCCAGCCTCTGTGTTTATTTCTGGGACTGGGAAATCAAACTCCTGTATACACAGGCCTGATCCTATATTTAATGCCTATTGCCATTTAATATTCATAATTCCCCGCATTTTTTAATAAATAAGGCAATTTGGCTAACAACCTGGTGAGAGGGCAAAGGGGAAAGGCAGTCCCAGTTGAAGCTGAAGACAAACTCCTTTAGAGGAGGCCAGGGAGTAAGGCAAGGTGTATCAAGACCCAGGAAGAAGCCTCATTGGCCCTGGCTCCTGCCAGTCTCCAGCATCTAGCCCCTTGACTGAAGGAAGAGGGAGAAGTTGGAGATGTCCGTCTCCCAGAGAACTGTTCGAAAGGCAGCCACAGGAATGGCTGGGGAGCAAGGGCTCAACCACTCCCTAGACTGCAAGGGTGGAGGATGTGAGCAGGCCAGAAAGAGAGGGAACTGGGTGGAAGCAAAAACCCTTCCTCTCCGCCAGTCAAAGGCCCTCCTAAGACCTTGCCAGGGAAGAAAAGAATGCTGGAGGGTGCTACAGTTCTGGCCACCATCCCCAAGCTGGAGGAACTGGACACATACCTTTCCCCCACCATATTGTATAAAACATCCATCAACAACTGATTGCCCAACTAGATGCAGCTGGTCCAAATCAGCACTTTTTTACACACATTTCCAAAATCAGGTCAGGGTTTTGCACACCTAAGTGCCCAACCAAGTACAACCCCTGCTTAATCCTGGAAAAAATGTTGCTATGGACTCTAACCCTCCTAGGTAGGAAAAACTGCTTCTACCCCCTGACTTGGTTGGTCAAATCCTCTTGAAACCCTGGAAAGAGTTGGGGAAAAGAGGGAAATACTCTTCGTAAGTATTCTAAGAATGACAAGGTTAATGCCTGCCCTAGCTAGAAACTCAATTTTCTTTTGAAACTTCATTCCCTTTTCCCTTTCCTTATACGCATGCATGCTCAATAAACTCTTGAGAATTTGAAATGAACACTTTGTGACAGTCTCTAATCCAACTCCACATGAGCCAAGAATTCTTGTTCTGCAACAATGGGAAAGAATTGCTCTCATACCACTCATTAACATATGTATAAAATAAATAATAAATATATCTGTGTACTTTATTCTCCTTGAGCGGAACTGACACCTGATGGAGAGTCTGAGGGTAACACATGAAACTGAAATAATGGTGAACCTGGTGGCAGATACTGTTGGAAATGTATGTGTTTACAAGGTCTGATTCAGTCATTATAGGGTTAACTTGTATTCCTAGTTTGCTATTGTTTAGACTGACCTGGAAGGGATACCTGGCACTAAGCCAATGGGGGATTTGCCCGGGAAAAGTAACTTCTATTTTGATGCAGATTGGTCATTTGTTCCAGGTGACTTCCTTTCTAGGGGTCAAGAAGAAGGAGGAAATCTCCACCATTACGTGTGTGCTTGTCTTCAGTATAGGAAGCTTAGAAATGTAGCTCTTAGTGTTTTGTTAATTTGTAGCAATCCCGTGTACCTTTTCCCTTAGAATAAAGTATTTTTAAAAAGCAAAGAAATCTCTTCTTTCCAATAGAGCAAGATCCATCAAATAGTCTGAGTATTAAACAATTTTTTGACTATTTACAACAGATACTACCCAAGCAAACACAGAGTAAGAACTCTGCAGGAGCAATCCCACACCTGCCCCACCCATTACACCACTTAGAAATCTGCAACGACCAGTCTGATTCCAGCAAAGATTTATACAACTTCAAAGCTCCATCGTCTGCACTAAACATTTTCAAATGTAGCAAAAACTTAAAACACATTATCTCCCTCTGACAGTGAATGCCCCTCTACAGCTGAGCCCCTTGTGCAACCCTCCTTCTGTTTCACTGCATTACACAAGTACTCTCAACGCTGCCCCATTATTCCCAGAGAGCACCCACCCACACAAATTAGCACCCCCCATCCAGCCAAAGGGATGCCTGTGCAGAACCATGTTTTCCAGGAAATGTTTGAAGAGAAAGTCTACACACTTAAAAGTAGGCTGCACATGAGACTGCCAAGACTCGAATGGAGCATCCTGCTCCCAAACCGGACTGCTGTATTTGTTTATTTAAAATACTTACAAACTCATTTTGTTCCCTAACTAGTTGGGACCCAAGAGAAGGAATGGGTTGGAAAACTGAACAAAGGGGCACTGCACAAAGCTTCCAAATGCATGGCCTTGCCTCCAATAACCTTGAGGGCAATCCGGTCCATCCTCTGCTCTGTGCACATGTAGGGTGGGGAAAGGGAGGGGTCAGCATGAGAGAGTCACACATGCAGAACAGCACATGCGGCAATGGCAGAGAAGGACAGGCTAAGGGACTGAATGCTTCCTCCCTCTCTAGACTAGCTTTCTTTCCAACTCGAAGAATTGCAAAACTGCTTCAAATGTTTCTCTAACTGATATCAACTTCTGGCTTTCCTCTAAGCAGATAATACTAAAAATAAAACAAACCCCCACACCTGTATCTTCCCCTATGATCAGGATCTCTCAAACAAACACTCGACAATAATTCAACCAACCTTCGCCTGAAGAACTGTAGCACCAGAGAACAGCCCTGTCCTCTTTGATGCTTATTACTCAAGGATACCTGCAAACAGCACTAAGCACACCAATGCAGGGACCACACTAGTAATTCCTGAGTGAAAAATATCTCAGCACGATGTATATTTTTAACCAAAGGAAAGGCAGAAGAATGAGGCTGTTAATAACAATAAAAATCAAGACTGTAAATAAAATGTGTTCCACCCTACAGACGTTGCCAAGAACTAAAACTTACCTTTCTGAAATGTCCACTTGGTGGCATCTCTTACGTAATGCCATGACCTTTCAGATGCATTCATCTCTAACACATCGTACCATTCTACAACATAGCTGTGTATATCTGAATCTGATGTTTGCCATTCCACAGTCATTTGTTCATTTAAAGCAGAAGCGTTCAGCATAACAACCCTTGGATAATCTGAGAACAATAATTTGCAAATGAAAAAAATATCAGGACTGTTGATTTCAACAGGTCAGCATTTTAAACTTGTGACTAATAACATTCTTGAATTGTGAGTCACATGGAAAAGCAGGAAGAGCCTGAGAGTTATATAACAATTTATTCATCTTTTAAAAAGAAAAGTTATGTAACGTTCATCGACAGGGTAGCAGAAGACATGATCAGACCAATAGGAGCATTTTTGTACACTTTATCTATAACCAATACAGGATGCAAAAAAAAAAAAAGAGTGCAATTTAAAAGGTTCAAATTGCGTAACACAGTCCTTGCTAACAGGAGTTCAATATGTAAACAGAAGGACATTGAGGCCTTCTGTCACCTTGGGGGTTTTGTTCGTATGTTTAGCCTTTAACCTGTCTTTCCCGCCAAAGGAACCCGAAGTGGTTGCTTGCTAACCGAGATTATTTAGTGCATATATTTGAAGATGAAGCCCAGTTTGAATAATGGTTCTGCGGCTAGGCACTGGCAATATCCTTGCTCACATATAACCAGAAGTGGACACGGTATCCTAATGTTGGTACTCAGACACCACTTTTACAGTTACAGAAACAAGGAAGTCCTTAGGTTTACACGCTCCATCTCTACCCATTTGTGGATCAGAAGTTAATCGCTTCCATATTCTCAAGGAGTTTCATCCTGGTTTGGAGGCAGCAGAACAAACCATCCATCACTTGTGGTTTGGATGTAAGAGCAAACCTATCATTTGCTCAGAATGCAGAAATGGTTAACTAACGTGTAAAGTCAAATGCAAAAGGAGTGGAGCGTACAAGACCACCAAGTCATAATTTGTCATTACAGTGGAATGTAGCCAAGGCAACTTTATAGTACCCTCATTTTCAATAAAGAAATCCCCACCATCATTTTTTGTTACTGTACCAGCAGCTAGAGAAAGGAAAATATTTTTGCATAGACATTCTGTAACTTTCTGGCAGTAGTTTTCAGAATTACTACTGTCATGGTATTTTAGAAAGCCTGAAGCCTGATTCGAAACTGGTTTATTCAGCACAAGATCGATCAAGCACAGCAGGACTTATTACTTGAGGGGGTGGCCTAGGATGGATTGCAGACCTTGAGTTTCGCCATTTCCTTTACCACACAGGCTTTTTCCTGTCATGTGTACGTATCTGGGTCATTTGTACATACCTGAGTATGAGTGAAACTTGGCCCTATTATAGTTTAGAGAAGACTCTGTTTTCTTGTGAGGTTCCCATCTCATGGTTGTTTACTTCTGTCCTTATTCATGGTCTGAGTCCACAAAACAGAAAAGAACTATTGCCTACGAACCCTAGCAAACAGCCGGGGGGGGGGGGGTGACTTTATGTAAGGTTGCCAGCTCTTGGTTGGAAAATACCTGGAGATTATAGGGGTGGAGCTTGAGGATGGTGATGTTTGGGGAGGGGAGGGACCTCAGTAGGATATAATTCCAAACAGTCCACCTTCCAAAACAGGCATTTTCTCCAGGGGAACTGATCTCTGTCATCTGGAGACCAGCTGTAATACCAGGAGATCTCCAGCCTCCACCTGGAGGCTGGCAAGCCTATTTACCTGACTATCTATATACCTGCCTATTTTTGTTGTTGTTCAGTCACACAGTCGAGTCCGACTCTTTGCGACCCCATGGACCAGATCCCGCCAGGCCCTCCTGTCTTCCACCGTCCTCTGAAGTTTGCTCAATTTCATGTTCTTTGCATCGATGACACTGTCTAACCATCTCATCCTTTGCCGTCCCCGTTTTCTTTGACCTTCGATCTTTCCCAGCATCAGGGTCTTCTCCAGTGAGTGCTCCCTTCTCATTTGGTGGCCAAAGTATTTGAGCTTCAGTTTCATGATCTGGCCTTCCAGGGAACAGTCAGGGTTGATTTCTTTTAGGATTGACTGATTTGATCTTCTTGCAGTCCAAGGGACTCTCAAGAGTCTTCTCCAGCACCATAGTTCAAAAGAATCTATTCTTCGGCGCTCGGCCTTCCTTATAGTCCAACTCTCGCAGCCATACATGACTACTGAAAGACTATTGAAAGAGGTAGTCAATCTTTAAAGGTACAATTGTGGTCTTAGGGTACTGTCTCAGTGATGATCTGGTTCTTATAGATCCACATGGGTCAATGCAGGGGTAATTCATGAGGACAACCAGATGGATTTCACCTAGAGAACTGGTGTTGAGTAGTGATGGGCATGAACTGGGAAAATGTGGTATGGTTCATGGTATGCCAGCTTCATGAACCATGAAACATCACAAATAAACCAGTTTCATTTGTGAGGTTTGTGACATGGTAGAACACCCCTCAGCATGATAGAGACACCAAACTCACAAGGGATATCCGGCTAACCCTCCTCTACCTACATGCCAAGGTTGGTGAGGATTGAATTTATGGGGTTCGAGTTATGGCTCCCCCAAAGAAGGTGTCCCCAGGAAAGCATTTTCTGGGGAAATGACAAGCACAGGTTCATTCCAGTAGGCATCTTTTAAGTGCCGGGGGGGGGGAATGTTTGGGAGGTGACAGTAATCAAAGACTGTTAAATAAACAAAATATGGCAAGAGTGTTACTGTTTTGAGCATATTTGTATTTTAAGTAAAAAAATAATATCTTTAATTGTGTTTATATCTTTTATAAAGTTTGTATCTCTGCTACCTGGCATTACATTTTATGACACACATGGCCTGGCCCGACAAAGTCCCATTTATGTCAGATCTGGCCCTCATAACAAATGAGTTTGACACACCTGCTGTACACTCAACATGTTTCCCCATATTATGAGATCGTGTGACTCTCCCATTTTTCACAGTGGCGGATAACACAGCAGAGAATCCCCTAGTGTTCAGCAATATGGAAAATGGGGTTTCACAACTGCTTATCAGTTTCAGAAAAAGTCTGTTCAGTTTCAACAGTGGGTTTTCCCCTTTGCCTGAGTACCTTTCTGTTCCCTTGTATTCAAGGAACTAATGAGAAAATGCATGCGCAAAACCTGAACCACAAGGATTTAAATGGAAGGGTGCTGGATGCTACTGCGCAGCTGCGATAGGAATATTGTGTAAATTTTTTAAAAAAACTTTGGACTCCACCCCCCACATGTCACAAGTGATGTTCCACCCCGATTTAGAAAAGGGCATTTTAAAAAATTGTAGCTGCAGAATAAATACACCAGAGGAAAAAGAATGGTGCATAAGGTGGGCACAGAATATGAAGTTAAGACTGAAGGCTTACTGCTCTGAAAATCTGCAGTAAGATGTGCGTGCGTAATAGGGCCTGTGAGTCACAAATCTACAGATGGCAAGGGTCTACTGTACTAGATGAAAGGGACACATATTGAACACATATACTCACCCTTGCTTTCTTCAGCACATGAAGGAATTCTCAAAACAGCCTCCGGGGAATCTCCAGCTGCGTTATGAGCAATAACACTAATCACATAGGCTTGCTCCATTACCCAGACAGTAACTGACTCGTCAGTAGTGTTCCTTGCACACACAAGGGAATGATTGCTTTGGGTGAAGCACTTTATTCTGTAACCTTTTATTATTCCTAAAGATTCATCCTCTTTAAGTTGCTGTCAAAAAACAAACAAAAAGCACATGGCAGCAATGAAAGAGCATAGACAACAATACTAGAACGTCAGAGTACACAAACGCAAGCATTTCTTCAGTTTGTTTACTTCAGAAGGACAGATGTCCTAGAGCCATTAACAAAATGACAGCCGGTGTAGTGGTTAAAGTATTTGGTATGGAGAGGTATGGAAACTGAGGTATGGAGAAATTTTCTTTGAAAAATTCCCCACAATATCCATCTCCAGAGAAAGACAGCATTCTCAGATAAGGATCATGAACTTGTGCTGCCTACATGTGTCCCACTGTTATGTATTCATAGTGACCTGAATGCATTGCACTGGTGTGTGTGAATCATTGCATTGACTTGTAATGTAAAGCTTCGGCCTGGGCTAGGATCCTAATGTAACCAATAGGAGCACTAGCCCAGGATGTGTCATCCAATCACCTGACAGAGCGGGGGCGCTTGTGATTGGTCATTATCTGTTCAACCTGATAGGTTGTTATTTGTACAGTGGGTGTGGCTACATTAGCCGGGAATGTTTAAATACAGAGCAGCTGCTATGTTAAAGCTGTTCTGGCTGACTGATGTTGTACTGTGTTGGAGAAGTACTGAAACTGAAGAATAAAAGCCGCATTCTTGCTGAAATCACTCTCCGACTCTTGTTAAGCCCACGACTTAACACCCACCTCTAACAAAAACAAACATCCCATGTTTCTGTCACCCTTTCCTGGGATATAGTCTGGAGAAATAGGTTAGATGAACACCTCCTTTTGTTCTTTCAAAGGTAAAGAAATCCTAAATTGCTGCAAATATTCAGCCCACCTGCTTTCAAAAACAGAGTGTTGCCTAAAAGGACATGCAAAAGCAACACGGCATCCATCCAGAGGTCACAGGAGTCAAGGAAAACACGGTTAGGGTTTGGCTTTTGCAATCCAGTGGATTTCCGACATGAGAACAATACCAATTCTTCAATAAATAAAACTGAGGTAAATCTACTAAGAAATAAAGCAGTCAAAATTTGCCATTTGGTTGCTGAACAAATAAAAATTAAGGTTTTTTTAAATGGCATCTTTACCTTCCAGAAAAGATGAACCAGTCGGGATCCTGTTGGCTGACATTTTTCAAGTACTCTCCATAGATCTACTTCTTTTGAGGGAACTATTAATAAAACAGAAAAAGAAAGTTGAAAAACACAGGCCGCCTTCTCATAACGCCTTGTCAAAATGGCTGCAACCAGGGATGCGTTCTCAAGTATACCTCGTGGAAAATTCATGATAATGATATTGAGGAGGTCCCCTAAATTAAATACTTAGGGGTTGGGTTTGACCAGAGATTAACTTGGTCACTGCAAGCTGCTCAAGTTAAAAGATGGTTACAGCGGTATCAAATATCATCTGGAGATTTTGGGGAATGGAGCCCAGGGAGGGCGGGGTTTGGGGAGGGAAGGATAATCATCAGGGTATAATGTCATAGAGTCCATCTTCCAGAGCAAAGCAGCCGTTTTCTCCAGGGAAACTGATCTTGATTGTCTGGAGATCAATGGTAACAGGGGGAAATCTCCAGGTGCCGCCTGGATGTTGACAACCTTACTGGGACAGGGTATGGCGCCAAAGCTCTAGAACTCTCTCCCCAGGGAGATTCATCTGTGCCCTTCTTCTGATGTCTTCCGCCAGTGGGTGAAGACCTGTTTCATTTGGCTTTTCCTCAGTGATCCCTCTTTCCTAGCCAATGTTTTTATGTTTTGTACATATTGTAACTATTTGCTTTTTAACTCTTTTAAAAATTGTTTTAATATAAACATTTGGGAGAGGAATTGAATGTAATAGTTTTATAATGAAATATGATCATGTATGTTTTAAATTGTTAGCTGCCTTGGTGGCCTTTGTAAGGGCAGAAAGATGGGATATAAATTTTATAAATAAAAATAAGCAGGCAAGGAAGCCAGCACAAGTATCATTCCATCTCACTGTCTTTTCTGCGGCTATCGTTTCTACATTTGTTTGTAGCTGCCAAAATTTTCTTCCTGCTTCTTTAAAGATGTAGCTGCCTCCTCTGGCTTTAATTACTTACTGGGGGGGGGGATCTTCTTGTTTTCTTTTAGTAATATTTTTCCCCCACTGCTACAGTTTGTCCTTCTTTTATTTCTATTATTTACCATACACATAAAATATTCTTTTCTAGGCCCTTCCCCTACAGCTAACAACTAACTCAGTTGATTATAAACTGGTACACAGAAATGATATGAAAGCTATTGTTTTTATGACCTTTTCATGTATATTACAAAACCCAATGTTAACCTGGATTAAATTTAATTGAAAATAAAAAACATCTGCTAATTTTAAAACATAACAGCTGTGTTTTCCTTGCCTTCTTCCTCTGTTGTTCCAATCTGCTCTCTGCTCCACTCACTCCAGAATTTTGATCCCTCTTTAATGCATTGAATGGCAACAGCATATTCAGTAAAACTCCACAGATTGGTGAGATCACAATAATTTTGCTGATACATTTCTGTGAAGTTGTAGGCTTCTTTCTAAAAATGGGGAAAGGAACACCATTTGTGCTTTTAAAAAAAGCAAAAATGTTATTTATATGAAAGAATACATGAGTAGGGTTGCCAGTCTCCAGGTGGTTTAAGATTGACCTTGAGGTGACAAAGGTTAGTTCTCCTGCAGAAAATGGCCACTTTGGAAGGTGGAAATGTGAAAAATGTAAAAATGTGAAGGGGACACAGTCCAATGTTCCCTCTAAGCTGTGGAGTCTTGTGAGCAAAAATTCTACTTTGTGAGCTACTGGCATTAAAGTTGTGAGTGAGTGATTTGGCTACTGCATAAATTAGTTTGCTCTGGAGCCATCCTTCCTGGGCTGAGACAAAAATGTGTGAGCCAGAGGCTAAAAAACTGTGAGCTAGCTCACACTAACTCAGCTTAGAGGGAACACTGGACACATCAAGTCACAATTCCCTGAACATTGCTTTGATCATATGAAGATACCAGCCTTACACTGGCTTCCTTCTCCCTCTGGTATTCAGCACAAGCTTCTATTGTTTATCTTTAAGCCTCTTGGCTATTTCAGTCTTTCCTATCTTTCCTTTTTGCTTTTCCTTCTTCCTCACCTTCCTTGCCCATCTAATACTAATCTTTGCAAGGATATGTGTGTCTGCGGAATCAGTGTTGGCTGCATATCTCCAAGCTCTACCTAAACACAAGCCCATAAAGCCAGATTGCTGCCAGCGCTGTGGTCTTCTTTGCCTTTAATGAACTTACAATGAGTGTAGCTCTGTTCATGATTGTACAGTTACTATACAGATATTTTGTAACTGTGGTTTTAAAAAGAACCTATATAAGAGCCATGTTAATGAAGACTGGTGGTGATGAGCTGAGTGTTTTAATTAACGGCCAAATTAATTTGGAAGCTAATGACTAAGGGCTTTATCGAAACCTCTTGCATAAGGTTTTACACAAGTCAGACCGACCCTGTAATGACACAGGAAAATGGTATGTGAAGTACTCAATATGGAATTAGATCATTCCTTGTAGCACAAATGGGTAAGATATTGACATATCCTAGGAAGGCAAGAGTTCAAGAAAAGAACCAATTGAAGAAGAATGGGGCATCTGCCAATACATAGTGAATCAGGATATAATCATCTGATGCCTCTAAATGATTAAGTTCAACTAATTTGGTAAAAGGCATATCAACACAAGAAGTTCTCAATTGGTGCGAACTTATCAAAATCAAAAGTTAGTCTCTTTCTTTCCTTCCTTTCCTTCCTTTCCTTCTTTCTTTCTTTCTTTCTTTCTTTCTTTCTTTCTTTCTTTCTTTCTTTCTTTCTTTCTTTCTTTCTTTCTTTCTTTGGAATTATATCTCTTAGCGGAACTATCAAATGAAAAGGAACTGAGGAAACCATGAACCATAGTGGGTATAATAGTAAATATTAAGTAAATACTGTGGTTTTAAGAAATCTTCTCCAAAAAATTGATAAATCTACAGAACAAGGTACTGTTAATTTGAATGGATTTGGTATAGAAGTGCCTGATGAACAGCATCCCATAAAGCTATTTCTGCAGCCAACTCATCTCATGAGGACAATGGACAAAATATTTTTAAATGCTTCTGGAAGTGGTACAAGAAAGGAATCTTAAAGAAAGGTGTGGAAAATCCTAAACAAACTTTGCAGAACAAAAAGAAAATAAGAAGCCCCCAAGTATGATCTTGTCTAGAATGACAGGTATGTTAAAATGGAAGAAGAGTAAAAAGAAAGGTTAAAAAAGGCTTAGTTCTCAGTGACAGAAGTGATAAGATGTAACATGGGATCAGATAATTTCAAAGATCAACTTTTAGAGACTACAGATGATCGGACCAAAGGTAAGAATGGAAATAGTAGCTCTGTGAGGGAAAGACCAAATGGGTCATTGTGATGAGCCAAAAAACATCCAGCCAAGTTTTTCCCAAAGAAGTTCCTTTTCTGATGTTTGACAAAATATCCCTACATACCCCATTGTTTTATGCATGTATTCAATCTCAGCTGTGCTTAGTTTGGGCAATGAAAAAGGACTAGTGGAGCAAGATGGCCTGGGAAAAACATCGGGGTACTAGAGATTGGCCAGAGCTCTTAATATAGATATCTGTATTTTTATACCTTGTAACAAGCTTGTAACAAAACCCACACCTTACTGGATGAGGGAGTTCTAGTGGGACCCTAAACCCAAGAACAGATCACCCAATTCAATACTAATGCATTAAGATTTAAACCAATTATAGAAATTCCACAAGTATTCTTTTTTTTGAAGAAGAAGAGACTGGATTTATACCCCCCTTCACTACCCAAAGGTGTCTCAGAGCGGCTTACAAACTCCTTCCCCTCCCCACAACAGACACCCTGTGAGGTAGGTGGGGCTGAGAGAGCTCTTGACAGAAACGGCTCTTTTTCAAGAACAGCTGTTATCAAAACTACGGCTTGCCCAAGGTCATCCAGCCAGGTGCAAGTGGAGGAGTGGGGAATCAAACCCGGCTCTCCCAGATTATAGTCTGCGCACTTAACCACTACACCAGACTGGAATCCTTCCTTCTTGTTCTATGTAGTGTTGCTGATGAGCAACCAGTTTAGTCACATATCCCAGGGTGGACACCCAAAAGATAGGAAGACCCTGGAGATGTAGGTATTGCATTTTGCTTCAGGAAGTAAAAGTCAGGCCTGTTTAAATTTTATTTTGTCTGTTTTTCTTGACCATGGGCTTTTCCACATGAGTTTTTTAGTCAGTTCTGGCCTCATACTGCTTCATTTATCCCCTGATTTCCACATGCATTTCTGGGCCTTTGGTTTCCACTTTGGGTTTTTTCCCCAGTTTTCCCATAGGGTTTTTTTAGTTCTTTTGAGACCACTTTTACCCTGATCTTTTTTCTGGAAGTTGATTTTGAGTCAGCTTCTTCCTTGTGCATCATGTTTCTGCTGGTTTTCTTTGTCCCACTCACTGTCACCTACCGGTACTTCCAACCTAGCATTACTTTAAATAAACACAGAGAGAGCTGGGAATTCACAGAACTTGCTAAGTTTATCATTACAATGATTTGTGATATATCAATATTTTAGTGCCATTTTTTAAAAAGGGGACAGTACTGTGATACCACCAATGACAACAGCACCCTCCCTTAAAAATTCTCATCACTGAAGGCACATGTGGAAAAAAATAAACTGACTCCACAACTGTGAAAATGCAGAGGAAGGGCAGACATGCTGAAAAACTACCCAGACTGATTCCAGTGGCTGTGGATTGCCTGCCAAGGAAATGAGGAGTAAGTTGAACATGTGGAAAAGCCCTGGGATGTGTATAATAACTGGTTTCTTTTCTAATCAAAATGATATCCTGTATAATTCCCATCTCCCGTACCAGGGCTATTTTTGGACAGGAACGCACAGGAACAGAGTTCCGGCTGTCTCCCAAGTTGGCCACGCCCAACAGGAACTCATTCGCATAATAGGCCACACCCAACAGCAGAAATTCATTGGGATTGGCTACATTAGTGGTGTGTGGCCTAACATGCAAAGGAGTTTCTGCTACAAAAAAACCCCTGGGTTTTGAGAACAAACAAGGTAAACAGAATAACAAGCAAAAGGTGGGTGTGGCTGGATAACCACACTTCTGGTAACATGGGGGTGTATCCTAATGTGCTAATAAGCTGTGCTGGCAGGGGTGTGGCCTAATATACTAATGAGTTTCTGCTGTTGGGTGTGGCCTATTATGCTAATGAGTTCCTGCGGGGCTTTTTCTACAAAAAGAGCCCTGCCCGTACCCCTTCTCCACACTGAATAACACCCCCCCCCCGAACAATTAACTGCTGTAGGGTTTTTATTGTGCTCTGCACATGTCCAGGTAGTGCTCAACAAAGATACTCTCCAGGCAACACAGGGATCAAACTTTGCCTGTAGGTTTCTTCCCTCTGTTGCTCGCTTAAGCTAAAGCACTAAGGCATCAAGGAGAGGATAAGCAGGGTTATTTAACATTTCCCAGGCAGAAATATCAGCATTCTGAATCATATCTTAACAGAAAATTGACCTACAGAAATTAGATTACAAAATCTAGAAAAATACCACATAATTAAGATACAACTCACAGAGTCATTTTGTTTCATGTTTCTGTATCGAATCCGGCACTTGTTTCTATCCATATCTCTTTCCCAGGAAACTCTTAGCATTTTCTTCATCCCTGGAATTTTTCCCACTTTCACAGGAGTTGGTCCAAGCTTCACTGGAACAGAAAAACAAAGCTCTCATGCCTTCTAATATTAAGCAACATACCATGTCCACTAATCTAATGGGTGCGTGCAACAGGAAAGACTCTGTTTGGGTAGGGAGTATGTAGAGGAGGTAGGCCCAGGATCCTTAGTGTGAAATCTCAAGAACCAGTGGATATTTCTTATTCACCTAGTACAAAAGTAACCTTATGCCAGCAAAAAAGGTGAACTATGTGCTCAAGAAAGGGTCTGGTCCAGTTGTGCCACAAACAGATTCCCCTGTTCACATTGCAAGAACTACAGCAGGATTGAACATCCTGCCTCCCCACCAACTTCAAACTAATACTGAACCAAGTGAATGCAGCAAGCAGATAACGTCAACTGTTACTGTCCCTGCCTTTCCTGTACAATCCAAGTCAGACTAGAGTTGAGCAACTTCTTCATCAAAGTGTACAGGGGAAAAATACCACAGTGAGTCAGTAGTTAGATCCCTCAGAGAGTCCTGGAAACAGATCCAAAACCAAATTTTGCTCTTCAGGGCAATTAAAAACAAACAAACCAAATTGCTTACCAGTTGTTTTTTTAGGGGGTCATCTGTGCGTTCTTGAGTCACAGCAATTTGGAAACTCCCAAAGCTAGCATTTAAGTGAAGTATAGGGTTGCCAAGTCCGAAGCGGCGCTGGAGCGGGGGACTCCAGTGCTGCTCCAAGAGTGCACGTGCGCAAAGCGCGCAAGTGCCGCAACCACATCACCCGGAAGTGATGCGACCACGCCGGGCACGCTGGGGGTGGGGCCATGACCATCCGAGGGGAAACCATAGAGTTTTTCCTCGGATGACCGTGGCCCCGCCCCCAGCGTGCCCGGCGTGGTTGCGTCACTTCCGGGTGATGTGCACATAGTGTGCTTTGGGGGTGGGGTTCCCCCTGGGGCCCGATCCGCTGGCGGCGGGGAACGGGCCTCTGGGGTAGGGGTTTCCCCGCCCCTCGGGGGGACTTGGCAAGCCTAGTGAAGTACTGTCCCCTCCAAGATGCACCTCCAATGACACATGGTCAAGGGAGAGGAATTGTACTTTCCTGACCAGTCCCTTTCAAAACTTGACTGTACAATGCAGCAAGTTAAAAGCACTTGTTGCAGAGAAGGTGGGTGTGTTATATGAACGCACTGGTGAGCACTCAAAGAACAACATTTATATTAAGCAACCTGTTTTACTTCTTCATTACTCTGATGCATACAAACTAGAAAGTTTGACCTGTCTGGGAGAAGGTACATTTAGGACCTAAGCACTGCCCTGTCAAAGGATGCATCTGCTCTGGCTCTGACATCAAGGGAATCATGCTTCACAAAGGTGGAAGGCTGGATCCAGGTAGCTGCTCTACATCAGTCTTGCGGTTGAACAAATAAAGGTGAGTCTTCTATCCTAGCCAGTGCCTCAGGAGATAAGGACTAGAGCCATGTATGATGCCGGAAAATAGCTGCAGTGGCCATAGTCTTAGAGCTACATACCATAACATACTTAGATGTTAGAATTTGTTGCTTGGTGAGATGAAGTGCCTCAGCTCTAAAAATCAGTGACGATCCGTTTAACCTTTTCTAAGTGGTGGTTGAGAGTGGGTGACACTTTTTCCCATAAGAAGTCCTGGTAGCAGGTCATGAAGGCCATATTGAAAGGGCATGGCTACAGAGTTACAGATTTTGCAAATCATGCCATCTAATTTCCTTCCCTCCATCTTTCGGTGTAGAGTGGGGTGTTTGTCCCCCTCTTCCCTGAGATGCCTCCATCAAAGTAGAATTTGGGGAGGACGGAAAAAGACAAAGTCACAGCCCTCCTGCTGTGTGTGATAAAGGTTCTCTATACCATCCTGGAAGTCAGAGAATTAGATATCAGCTTATCCCAGGTATCCTTAGCTAACCAAAGCCAACCAAAGAACAACTGGAAGCACTAGGAATACAACAGAAGATTGTGATGCCGATTTCAACAAATCAAAGATGTCTGGTTTCTGTGTTCAGCTGTAGAGAACCAGCCATCCAGATTAATTGCTCAGAGTATATCCAGATGTATGGGGGGGGGGGGACACCTGTAGGTCTGAGGTAGCATTACTCAGTAATTAGTCTGATGTTTTATCCATTTCCAAGGCAGGGACATGGTCCAACAGCCATGTTGGGGATGGAGTAGGAGGCTGGGGTGGCAGAGTGAGAGACAGAGACTGGTTAGGAAGCTGGAGTAAGCTGGAGTGCTGGAAGCTTGTAGTGCTGGAGTCAAAGGATGGATCACCAGGGAAGCCAGAGCTACAGTGGCTGCTCCACCACTATAATGAGGGGGCAGGCAAATGAGCGGGCTGAACCAAGGGCTTTCTTTCTCTGCAGATTTGCCTGTTCTTGTCACTACTGCCACTGCGTAAGAACATAAGGTAAGAGATGCCCAGTGGTCCCAGTGGCCCATCACAACATTCACTAGCAGAGATTTATTCCCACACTGACTTAAGGAGTCTTTTTGTCCTGAATCTATTGCCCATCAGCTTTAATGGGAATATCTGATGGAGGAAGCTTTAATTCTTGAATATTTACACCCCCAAAAATCTTGTGGTCTCTAAAGTGCTACTGGAATCAGATTGAGCTCTGCTACTGCAGACCAGAATGGCTACCCTCCTGAAACTAGGTGGCCACGAATTCTGTATTACTGGAGAGAAGAAAAAGTGTTCTCTATCCACTTTCCTCGCCCAGTGCATGATTTTAAAAGCCTCTATCGTGTCTCCCCAGTATTCTTTTCTTTGAACTTAAAAGCCCCAGCCGTTCCTAAAGTTCCAAACCCCTTGATCACCTTGGGCCTTGGTCACAGTGGGGGAAATAGGCGTGGCCAAAGTGCGGCTTTTTTGAGCCACATCAAAAGAGACGTGCGGCAGCGGGAACAGACAGACAGTAGCAGAACATCTGCTTGCCATACAGAACATCTCAGGTTCAATCTCTGGTATCTCCACTTTAAAAAAAATATATTTTATTTACATTATTTATAGACCACCTTTCTCACTTGGATTCAAGGCACATTACACAGAAATGACAGGATGGGATATTCAATAAACAGGGCAATAGATTAGGACTGCAGAACCAACCAGAAGCATAAGGATTAAAATGACACACTCTTCTTGAGATTCTGAGTTAGATGGACCAATGGTATGACACATCAAAATATAGCTGCTTACTTTTGTGTATGTTCTCCTGAACTTGCTGGAAGGGGTACATGGTGATATGTAAACTAAGTATGACTTACGTGTAAAGAAAATGTATATTGATTGAAGGGGGAGAGGGAGAAATGATCAGCTGATAATTAAAGTGGTTTAAAGTGCTCTTATGATTTTTGCCTCACAATTTCTACCACACAGAAATCTTGCTGAAGTTCTTCTGTTACAAAAGCTCTGCATAGAATATGTCTGTCGAAGTGTACAAATTCTGTCTGTTTCTTACATCACTATTTGAAATAGTTTATTTTATAACTCACATATTTCCTCTGATATTTGGGAAACACACTGTGACTCTGCTTTCCCCAAGGGATTTTCTAGCTTCAACTGAATACAAAATGAAGGATAAAACACTGTAGTTTGGAAATTATGAGATCTTGAACCATTCTTGCTTTTCCAGGTGTTATTTAAAAATATTTTTTTCCATTCGCGGCCTCTGTTGAAAAATAGTACATTAATAAACATTATCTGTGGGATAAAAGTGCTCAACAAATTTAAAGACGTTGTTGAGTAAAAATTATTCCAGATTCAACAGAAAGAAAAGAACAATGCAGGTTGAACAGCAATATATCTAATTTTCAACATGGCCCCATTTGTGGATACTTAAATCCAGATACTGGAGCCATGAACAGTATATCACAGGCTACTGGTGATGGCATAGAGGGCCTTACCACAGTTCAGTTGTTATTGGAAGCGGCTCCTAATCAAAGGCCTGGTGGAAGAGCTCCGTTTTGCAGGTTCTGCAGAACTGTAAAGGTCCTGCAGGGCCCTGATGTCTTCTGGGAGCTTATTCCTCCAGTATGGAGCTGCTACTGAGAAGGCCCTGGCCCTGGTAGAGGCCAGCCTGGCGTCTTTGGGTCCAGGGAGGGCCAAGCGATTTTGAGACCCCAACCTCAGGGCTCTCTGGGGAACATGTGGGGAAAGGCAGTCCCTCAGGTAAGGAGGCCCCAGCACCTTGAAGCGAATTCATATATAAATGAATAAATAACAAGCAACATGATAATTATGGGACTGCCTGCTGAGTCCGTAACCAATTGAGTCCAGTTCACATACCTATAAATGACTTGTTATTGTTTTGTATATCATAATGGCTGATCAGTTAGCACTTACTGTTTTCCGATAATTGTGTAATCTGTTTCAATGTATGTATCGCGTCCAAAAGTCCAACTGCAAGTAATATTTTTGCCCCCATTATCAATGCAAGAAATATTTTCAGGTGCTGATGGTGGAACTATAATCAAAGGAACAAGGAACAGAGTGGATATTTCCGGCACTAATTTGTATTTAGTATAACAGAAATGCATGGACAGTTTCACATTGAAAACACTTCATTGTATGGAACTGTTTAAACCTTTACTATCTCCACGGCTATAAACATTACTCCCGCCCTTACTCCATCACACATACTTTTGTTAAATATTCATAAATAATGTTACACTTCTTATAACACGCATCTCTGATTCAAAACATTCAAGCTTACTTACACCCTGATTTAATTTCAGTGCGAGCCAGATGTTGCTTTTCGATGGGAAAATCAACATAGCATTTCACATGAGCCTCTTCATAAGTGAAATTATGGATAACAACTCCAGAGACGGAATCATTGACAATTATATAGTTTTCTTTTGCAATCCTATCCCCATTCAGTGTCCAGATTATATGACTTGCATTTTTATAGGGATAGAGCTTTTTGCCAAGACTACAAAAAAGTTCCAGGGTTGAACCTCTTTCGATCACAGGGGACAACGGGAACACTTGATGATGTCCCACATCTTCATCTATGAAAGAAAATCACTTAGATTAGAAACATTTAGAGTAACAACAAACACACACATGCAAATACACTTACACCAGTGACGCGGATCCGCTCCATTTATGTGTACCTGGGTCTACTCTTTCCCCATGAAAGACTCCTTATTGGCTAAATTTGGCACAAACATAACTTTTGATTTGGCACAAACATGACTTCACTATATACTCCCAAGTTACTGCATCTTGCAAAATGTTGCCATGAAAATGCTTCGGACTCATTTAGACTTCGGCTGAATGAGTTCGCCTGCTTTCTTGAAGTCAAACACACATGAACACATGAAGCTGCCTTATACGGCATCACACCATAACTGGTCTACCAAGGCCAGTACTTAGGGCTGCCAACTCTGGGTTCGGAAATACCTGGAGATTTGAGGGTGGAGCCTGGGACGGGTGGGGTTGAAGTTATAACGCCATACAGTCCACCTCTCAAAGCAACCATTTTCTCCCAGAGAAATGGAATAAATGTTTTAAATAAATAAATAATAGAAGAGAAGAAGAGATTGGATTTATACCCTGCCCTTAACTACCTGAAGGAGTCTCTGAGTGGCTTAAAATCTCCTTTCCCTTCTCCTCCCCACAACAGACACCCTGTGACTGTGAGGAAGGTGGGGCTGAGAGAGCTCTGAGAGAACTGTCCTTGAGAGAACAGCTCTGAAAGAACTTATGACTGACCCAAGGTCACACCAGCAGCTGCATGTGGGGGAGTGGGGAATCAAACCGGGTTCTCCCAGATTAGAGTCCGTGTTCTTAACCACTACACCAAACTGGCTCTCATAGGCAATCTATGTAGTCTCGAGATCAGCTGTAATCCCAGATCTCCAGGCACCAACCTGGAAGTTGGCAACCCTATCAGTGCTGTCTAACTGGCAGCAGCTCTCCAGGCGGAGGTCTTTCACATCAGCTACTATGTGATCCCTTTGCCTCAAGATGCTGGGGACTGAAACTGGGACCTTCTGCATGTCAAGTAGAGGTTCTACAACTGAGTTACAGCCCTTTCCCCAGATACTCACAAACACCCTGCACTTATGAGTGATGTCATACATGAGCTGCAGTTCACATGTATTGCTTTTATATTTTCTATAATTTACATGATACCCTGTGAAGTCTAAACAGTGGCTGCAGGTGATGATTTGGCTATCAGTGGGATTCCAGTTTCACATTATGCTGTTCATGCTTATTGACTGGCTACAGTGTGTGTGAAGAAACCGGTGAAGAATCAGACCCTAGATATAGCCACTACTCAGCTATAAGCATTAAGGACATGTTATTTAAATTAGGAGTCTGTTTTACTTCTACTTTGGTGTAGTTTGGTGTAGAGCGAGTTTGGTGTAGTGGTTAAGTGAGCGGACTATAATCTGGGAGAACCGTGTTTGAGTCCCCATTCCTCCACTTGCACCTGCTGGATGACCTTGGGCAAGCCATAGTTCTGGCACAGCTGTTCTTGAAAAAGAGTAGTTTCTGTCAGAGCTCTCTCAGCCCCACCTACCTCACAGGGTGTCTGTTGTGGGGAGGGGGAGGGAAAGGAGGTTGTAAGCCGCTCTGAGACTCCTCTGGGTAGTGAAAGGCGGGGTATAAATCCAATCTCCTCCTCCTCCTTCTATGTTTAGGGCCCCATAGCTATATTTCCTCAAGCTCCCATGAAGCTCCCCTTTCATTTAAATGGAGCTTAAACAAGTGAAATGGCAAATGGATTTCAATAACATATACAATGAAGTACAGGCCTCTCTTCTGTCCCTAAAAGAGACAAGAGGCACCTTAATTTGAGATTCAGCTGGGAAAAATTAGAAAGTTTCTAACTGTTTAGGGTTGCCAACCTCCAGGTGGTGGCTGGAGATCTCCTGGAATTATTACTGAATTCCAAACGACAGAGATCAGTTCACCTGGACAAAATGGCTGCTTCGGAAGGTGGTCTCTATGCATGACGTCAAGCTGAGCTCCCTCCCCTCCCCAACTTCCCACTCTCCTCAGGCCCCACCGCCCAAAATCTCCAAGTATTTCCCAGCCCAGATCTGGCAGCCCTATCATAGTCTGCTTTTCAGGAGATGCAAGCAAAAGGTTTCCTTACTGCCTAAACCAAGCAACCGTACTTTGAAGCAAATAACACTTATTTCAGTACAATTTTCTTCAGCTTAGAATTCAAGCTTAATATTAATAAATATAGAAATGGTACAACTTACCTGCTAAGCAGAAACTGCATAGCACTGTTAAGGTCCAAGCCAAAATGAACCACATTTTAATTAGAATTGTGCGCAGGCAGCAAACACTGAAACAAAGTTAAGAGGCTTTTAAAAGTATGTGTATAGGTAGCTGTATCTGCAGACTGAAAATTTGATGAAATGGATTCTAGCCCCCAAAAAGCTGAAACTACATCTTTTTTTTTTACGGTGGTGGCACAAGCGTCCTTTTTAGTTTTACTACGACAGACAGGGGTCATTTCGTAGAAAAAGAGCTAGGGGGACTCATTAGCATAACTCATTAGCCTATGCCACACACCCTGACATCACCGGAAGTGTGTCCTCCCCACAGCCGGCGGCGACCTCCAGCGGGCACCAGCCGGGAGCTCCAGGCCCCGCCCTCCCGCACCTCACCCGGGGGGATGGCGTCCCCCCGCGTCCCCCCCCAAATGACCCCTGACGACAGATTAACATGGCAACTAGAATCTGTCTCTTCTGTTTACTCAGTTTGTGCCAAGACTGCACTAGCGGTTAGCCCAAGAGTTTGTTTTCAGCACAAGATGAGTTCTGGAAGAAAAATACTTCTAGCCATACACAGAATGCCTTTTCCTCAGCATTGAAAAACTGCAGTCTTTTTTCTTTCCACACACTTTCATAATTCAGTAGCATACTTAAACATGCAGTAGCATACTTAAACATGCAGAAGCAGCAATGGGATAACTGAATTATATTTTTTAATCCCTCAATAAAAATGAGGATAAGGGTACATGCCCTGTACCTTTCATAAATTAAGAGGCTTGCTGAACCACACTGGAGGCCTCTCTAGTCCAATGGCCTGCTTCCTATGGTGGCCAGTTAGATACTTCTAGGAATCCTACCAGCAGGATATAAAGGCAACAGCTACCCCACAGCTGCCACAAACAGCTGGCATTCAGGGGTATACTGCCACTGAATATGGAGGTTCTATTTGCCCGTCATATGTAATGGCCACTCATGGACCTGTCCACTTGCTGTCTAATTCTGTTTAATTCCCTTTTAAAGTCTTCTAAACCAGTGGATGTCACCCCTTATAGTACTTTGACCAATAAATTAACTTTGCAGCATGTGATATAGTACTTCCTTTGGCTGTCCTAACTGTCCCTGCCAAAAATGCCCTCCTCTTCTGTTTATTAAAGATCCTGAAAACTCCCCTGTCCTCACTGTATCAGCCCTTGAGAATGCCCTATATTATCTACTCAGCGTTCACAGCCTGTGCCTCTCTGTATCCAAATGTGTAGTGTTTAATTTTATATTTACAGACACATATTGATGTCTACCAATGTTTGCAAGGAAGGAACGCCGTTATAATTTCCATTAAAAGGTGTAGTATGCAGCTATGGTACCTTTTAATTAATTAAAATCATACCTGAAATTTTAGAAAGCACATATGAAAGGGAAACAGAAGACGGGGGATAAGCTCCATTGCCTAAACTGAGACTTATTGCTAAGGAGACCTGCTTAGGATTGCTCCCTAAAGATTCAGTCCATTCTGTAACTGTTGATCCGCTACTCTGGAAATTATATCCAGGGTCATTTCAGTTGGCCAGTCTGCCCCTGGTCGGTCGGTCAGTCGGTCGGTCGGTCTCTCTCGGTCTCTCTCGGTCTCTCTCTCTCGGTCTCTCTCTCTCGGTCTCTCTCGGTCTCTCTCGGTCTCTCTCTCGGTCTCTCTCTCTCTCTCTCTCTCTCTCTCTCTCGGTCTCCCTCCCTCTCTCCCTCTCTCTCTCTCCCTCCCTCTCCCCCTCCCTCCCTCGCCCTCCCTCTCCCTCCCCCTCTCCCTCTCTCTTTCTGTGGCAGCGGGGGGGGGGGGGGGGAAAGGAGGGGGTTGGGTTTTCCACCTCTCAGTGACCTTTGATACATCAACTATGTACCCAACTGGGCCATCTCTCAGAGCTATTGATGTTCTAAACTGATGCTTGACATTAATTGTGGGTTGGATGAGGGTGGACAAGCTCAAGGTTGATCCTGACAAGACAGAGGTGTTCTGGGTGAGCAGGAAGGCAGACCAAGGACTTGACATCTCTCCTGCCTGGGATGGGGTTACACTCCCCTTGAAAAGCAAGCTTGCGGCTTGGGAGTGCTGCTTGACACAGCAGTCACTTTAGAAAACCAGGTGGCTGTGATGGCTCGGAGGGCTTCAGCCCAGCTTCAGCAGGCGCACCAGTTGTGCCCGTTTCCTGCCTCAGTCTGATCTAGCTACAGTGATCCATGCCTTGGTTATCTAAGCTGGACTAACTGCAATGTTCTGTACTTGGGGCTATCCGTGAAGAGTGTTAGTAAGCCGCAGCTGGTGCAGAACACGGTGACTAGACTGCAGTCGAGACCAGCTATTGGGAGCATGGGACCTCAAGTTTACATCAATTATACCTGCTATAGATCCGCCCCCCCCCCCACCCCACTCCAAGCCCAGGTTAAGGTGTTCATTTTGACTTTTAAAGCCCTACATGGTTTGGGATCAGGGTATCTAAAAGTGATGTCTCACTTTATTCAATAGGGTTTATTCTCAGGTAATTTCTGTCTCACCTATATTTAAGTATTCTGGTAGGACTGCCAGATCTGACTCAGGAAATTCCTGGAGATCTGGGGGCAGAGCCTTGGGAGGGGGACACTTGGGGAGGGGAGGGAATTCAGCGTCTATGTGATTCCATTCCTTCCTCCCATGCTGCCATTTCCTGCAGGGGAACTAACCTCTGAAGACTGAAGGTAAGCTGTGATTGAAGCCCAGGCTGTACCTGGAGAATGGCAACCCTGTGTTCTACCAAGGCCCTTGGTAAGGAGTCTTCCTGAATCTCCTTGCTCCTGATTGCTGTGGGTTTCCGGGAGAGATTTGCACTGAATCCTATTCCAATGT